CTCCTCAATAGCTTTTTATCTTTTGAAGGTAAAAATTGTCTTCTTTTATCAAATTGGTTTCATTTCTGAGCTAGTGTACAGCTTATGGACCATCACCTTAGTATCAATCCCAGGCATATCAAATAGTTTTCATGCAAATAGGTCAACATTATTTCTCAACAGCTTAATTAATTGTTCTTTATGTTCAAGTTTAGTTTCAATCTGTATATATTTTTTAAAAATATTTTTTCAAAATAGTACAGTCATAAGGTTCTCTGCTAGCTCAAGTCGATTTTCATCTGGATCAGGTCTTTGATCAATTATTTATTTCTATTTAGTTAGGTCGAGATCATTTCCTATGAAGATAGATCCCGACGTGACAATCAGTATACTATTTGATAAGTGATCTAAACATATGGTTGAATAAAATGTATTTCTTATTTCAATTTTTGTTTTTGGTCAGTGTGCTAGCTCTGTCCAAATGACATGTAAATATTTGTGCCAACTTAAGAGCTCGATCATCTTCAAGATCATTTCAAAAGTTTAAAAAATGAAACCAAAGATGTATTTTTTATTGGAACTATTAAAGCTTAAGAGCTTACAGTGGCTTAATAGTGCACTTCTGTCAAGTCGATCGTATGTTATAAGTTCTTACTCTGTTCTTACTTTTCTTCAGTTTTTGTTGCTTGTCTTTCTTCTTTAGCATTTTTGGTCTCAGCCAGGCTGTCAATCTACTACCCAATCCTCCATCTCATTATCGTGATACAATACTGTTGCACCATAAACTAGTTTTCTTTCATTTTTTCAACTCCTTGAGGTGTTAAAAATTTTATCTTTAAATGGAGAGTTGAGCCTATGAGCCTCATAACATATTGGCTAAGTCGACCCAATATCATATTATAGGTAGATATGACATCTACTACCATGAATTCTATGATCAAAATGATTATCTTTAGTTTCATTCCTAAAGAGATCAATAATTTTATAGTCCATTCCACTGGTATCTGCTCGTTCTCAAATCCTACCAAGATTGTGGTGGTCAGTTGAAATTGATCTTCTTTGATACCTATTTTCTTCATAGTAGAGTAGTAAATGATATCGATTGAACTCTCATTATCGAATAGACTCTTCTTGACCACATAATTATTTCGTTCAACCGTGATTACTATAGCATCGTCATGGGGATGTTGCATTCCTTTCAAATCTTTCAAACTAAATGAGAATAGCTCATCATACCAATCTTTTTCTTTCTTTACTGAAAAGCCAATGGCCATGATCATACCTAAGTTAGACTTTTTTTTTATCGAGGTCGAGCCCCATCTAGTAATCCCATTAATCATTCCAGCAATCGACCTATTATTTTTAGATCAACCTTTTTTTTTTTTTTTGCTTATCTCCTCGAACTTTCCATATTTTATTTTTCTCTAGCCTACCTTCCTTGTCCCTTGTGGGGCTTTTTTTTATCTTGTCTGTAATATAATATATTTTACTATTATCTTCTTTAGTCCACAAACCTCTTTAGCTGACCTCTTCTGATCAGAGCTTTAATCTCATTTTTTAGGTCAATATAGTTCTCGGTGTTATAGCTTATGTCCCTGTGGAAAGCATATATTTTGGTTGGATCCATCCTCGTATTCTACCTCAATGGCTTCGACCAACTGAGCTCTGAATTTCTCTTTATTTACATTAGACTCCTCTTTCAAAAGGTATTCAATGCAGTATAATTTTTCTCCACTAAAGGTTCAAGCCCTATGTCATCTCTCTCTTAGAGGATGATCATAAAAATCTTTATCTTTCTTACAATCGAAAAGAATGAATGAACCTCTTTCTTACAATCTTTAGCTACAAGTAGAATGTCGGCAAAAGTCTTAGGCAACTTTAATGATAAGATCAATTTTAGGTGGTATTCTCTGCCATTGAGTCTACTTGTCAGGGTGCTACAACAACCATTTGTTCCAAGTCTTTTACCTATAAAGCTTTTGCGTTAAAACGCGTGACATAATTTTTTAAGGATTCATTACAGCCATGGTGGATCTACATCAAGCTTAATGTCATTTTCTTCATTCTTCAACTACTTACAAATCGAGATAGGAAGGAATGACTGAGCTTTTTAAATGTTGTAATTAACCTCGATTTTAAACTGCTATACCAAGATTGAGCTACGTTTTTTAGGGTAGTAGCAAGGCCTTTACATATCAGAGCTTTATCTGTATCATGTATCATTATGTTAATTCTACAAAGTTTCAAATGATCGAAAGGATCAGAAGTACCATCATAAATTTCTAAAGTTAGCATTTTGAACCATTTTAAGGGCATTGCACTTTTGATCTCTTAAGTGAAGGGCAAGGGCTTTAAAAATTTGAGCTCATTTTTGAAAGCCACTGCTTTCACCTTTAGTTTTTTCTTTATAACTTACTTTCGAGATTTTAAGTCTTTGTTTGGTTGGGGTTATGGACTAGTTTGTTTTTACTTTTGGGTCATGACATGTGTTGAGTTATGACTAGGATGGTGGTGAGCAAGAGTGTCAAACTCTTTTTCTTTGGAGGCTGAAGACACTTCGACCTCTTTATAACTCGATTGACTTTCCACCGCTTCTTTGTCAAAGGTAACTAGGTCAAGAACATTCAAAGCCTGAGATGGAGTTATAGTTTGTAACATCTATTTAAAAGCCTATATCTGCTCGATCAAAGCCTGGAATTACTCCATGGTGGGACCAACTTGTTGTAGGGTAGGTCGATCCGAGTGCTGGCTGTTGTGTGTCTTCGTTCCAGTCGAAATGGCCATCTTTCCTTCCTCCAAAGTTCTTTTCCTAGGTGGCATTATTTTGTGCTCAATTAATGAATGGAAAATCCCTTACTTGGTGCACCAAATATTTGTGTCGAACTCCTATGTAAAGATATTCCTAGAAGAACATAAAGTAAAAAGAAAGCAGTCAGATTTAATGATAAGAAGTGATACTTGCATTTGTACTCTGATGCGTAAGTCAAAAATCAAGATTAGGGTCGGTAGCCCAGTCGCAACCGACGGGTTCCGACCCGACCTCCTAAGGTTAGTTTTTTTTTTTAATCGGATTTCGGGTCGGGTCGAGTCAGATATTATTAAGAAAAAATTGAGTTCGAGTTTTAGGTAAACTCGACCCAACCTGACCCCTAATGGTAGGTTTTTTTTTTTAAATCGAGTTTCAGGTCGAATCGGGTCGGGTATTATTAAGGAAAAGTTAGGTTCGGATTTTAGGCAAACCTGACCCGATATTATATAAAAAATTATTTTTTAATTTTTAATATATATATATTTTTTTATATTTTAAAATAATATTTTATATTTTAAAAAATAATATTTTATTAATTTCGGGTCGGATCGGGTATGATTTATATAAAATCGGGTAGAGTCGAGTTCATGTATAAAAAAATAAAAAAAAATTTCAGTTCAAGTTCGAGTTTTATGATTATAAAATTGGATCGGATTCGAGGCGAGCAAAAATCTACCTCAACCCGACCCATTACCAACCCTAATCAAGATGCAAAAGATCAAAAGGAAAGAAAGAAAAAAGGTTTAAAACAAGATGGAACCTAGGATGATAATGCCTAAATGTTTATATTTATAAATAAAAGGTAGTGGGATAATAAGGGACAATAATGACTTAATCAAGCTGATATGACACTAAATATATCAAATTAGATTTAGTTGACATAAATATTCAAAATATCATTAACTATCTACCAAAAACCTCTAATGAATAAAAAAATCATTATATCCTTTGAAACACTAAATACCCCCGACACTCTCTTTCTTTGTTATGTTTGATGAACACTTTATTTCAGTTTTTTTATTCTCCTTTCAAATTTTCTTTTTTTTTTCTTTGTTACTTACTGGACAAATATTTGTTTAACCTTTGATTAATCATATACTGCAATTTTGCTCCATTTATATTTCAAGTTTTTGAAGAGAGATTTATGAATTGCTAGTTGGTTCTCAGTTCATGGACTTTTGGCTCTGTTTCAAGGCCGTAGTCAGTGTTTTCGTCGATCTTGTTATCATCAATGGGGCAGCAAAAAGAACAGTTCATGCAATTGTAACAATAACTACAGCCCTCCTTGCTGCAACTTATCCAACCATGCATCAAAAAATCATAACTCCGTCCTAAGCAGCCAATAAAAAGTTTCACCTTATAATATATTAGAAAGTACTTGCCATTTCTTCTAATTTCTTTGAATTCTGCATTCTTTTTTTTTTTTTTTCCTTTTCAGTCTTGGCATGTGGCTGTATACATATCTGCCTTCCTCTTCCTTCTTTCCAAAGCAGCCATTAAAGGTAAAGAGTAAAGACGACAGTGAAAATGAAGTAGCAGAAGATGGAATTAATCATATGCAACATATGAATTTTCTCAGCTGAATTCTTCGCGGTGAAACCAAAAAAGATTTTGCTGAAATGCAAAAGTGGATCAGTAACTTACTTCAAGCTTTTAAGATTTTTTTTTTCTAGACAAAAAGACTATACATGGATTGGACAGTCATCTACACATTCTTTCTGAAAAAAAAAAAAATCAATTTACTATATAACTATACCATAAATAATTATGATGTTAATGAATTAGTTCAAACTTTGTTAAACAGTGTCTATAAATCACTTGCTAGTATTATTATTATTATTATTATTATTATTATTATAAAAAACATAGATAATAAATATGTCTTCGTCAAATGTACTATATTAAGATATAGTCACTTTTAATATTTTAAATACTATTGGCTCGCATACAGAAATTTTGATTATTTTGATAAAAATTAAAAGAATTAAAAAAAAAACTTTATAATTATCTTAAACAAAAAAAAAGAAAAAATGGATTTTAAAATTGGATTCTCTACTTTAAAAGAAATTAACCTTATTATTACATATTTTATTGTTTATCAAAATTTTAACCGAATTTATGTCATTTGATTTGTGTTCAAAGTAAAAAATAATGGAGTACATTTACAATTGCCAGTAAAATAGGTATTCATTTACAAAATTCTTCAAAAATTCAATATATTTTCATATTTCAGCAATTTTTCATAATCGAGGGTCCAATTCAAGCCCGTTACAAGCCCAACCCGTCCGGTGATAAACACGAGAACTGCACGTGCCATATTGTTTAAGCATTAATGCTCGCTTTTTCCCTTTTTGGTTTCTTTTAACCATTGATTAATAGTCGATTGTCTTAGCAGAGACAAGCTATTACCGAGTTAGGGCATCTGAGTTGACTCAGGCAATTCTCTGACAAGCTTCTTCATTTTTTACTTCGGTTCCTTGTTAATTTTAGGGTTTTTGCTGTTTTAAACATCTCCAGTTTAGTAAAATAGCGATAATTAGACAAAAAAATTGTACCCTATTTTCAAAGATTTTCAGTGTTTTTATGGCTATGGATCTGATTTATAATTTTCAATTTTTTTCGTTTTTGTTCTAATATCAAGATTCAAGTAGCAAAACCCATGAATTTTATGTTATTTTAATGGAAAATCATGGATATTTTATTGTTATAACTTAAAACGCTGAAATTGATATGTTTGCTTGCTGAGAAAATGATGAAAAGAAACAGGATGGGAACTTTTAAAGGTTTTGCGTTGCAAAAGAGTGCATATTTTAGTGTTGAAAATCTGAAATATATTTCAATGGAAAATCATGAATATTTTGTTGTTATAACTTAAAAGGCTGAAATTGATATGTTTGCTTGCTGAGAAAATGATGAAAAGAAACAGGATAGGAACTTTTAAAGGTTTTGCGTTGCAAAAGAGTGCACATTTTAGTGTTTAAAATTTGAAATCTATTTTTCTGTATTTGCAGATGTCGTACTTAAGGGAAGGAAGGTGAGCATTTTATTTTTAAATATAATCTCCCTTTCCTAATGTAAAAGGTCAGTTTCTTTCAATGGAAGTAAAATGAATTTTCTTTCAAACTGAAAATTTCAGGTCAGTTACAGGGGGAAGAGGACGTCGGTCAAGGTCATTGTCAAGGTCCCGACGGAGCTGCTTCAGGTCTAGGTATACTTAAGCTTAGCTATTTGTTTATCTTGATATCTTGGTTCCTATAACATATTAGTATCATGTTTTTGTTGTTTATTCAGCAGTTCTTTTTTTTTTTTGTTTTAATTTAGTTTTTATTTCCCCAGGAGCCGCGACTCTCAGGATGCAGCCAATCTAGGAAATAACTTATATGTAACTGGCTTATCCACAAGGGTTACCACCAGTGATCTTGAGAAGTATTTCAGCAATGAAGGAAAGGTATGGAATGATTGTTTATGAAGACAACACATTTTGTTCTTTCAAGTGCTCCTATTTCTTTTTATGTCTTACTATAAGGAGATAACTTTCGGGTTATCCTTCAAGTTGCAATATGATTTACTGAAAGAAAAATAAACATGAAAAGGGTGTTGGATTTTTCTTTTATAGGTGGCTGAAGTTAATTAGGTTCTTGTATGTTATTGGGCTTGACATATAGGCTCTTTGCCGTAGGTACAGCTGGTACTTTGGCAGTTTTTGAAAGCACAAAACTTGAAACTATGTTTTGGTTTTTCTTTTAGTGTTGCTCCACCTTGTTTAAGTTAAGGGTGTAGCTGGTTTCTCTGCCTTTATAGAACCTCCATGGTAACAGAAAAGTTTAAAGCGTTACAATAAGACTCACCTTAGAACTATAAGTGGTTGTAGGTTGTCCTAGCGATCTGTCTCTAGAGTTATGTAACCTGAGTTTTGGTTCCAGGTTGTGGAGTGCCATCTGGTTACAGATCCTTGCACCAGAGAATCTCGTGGATTTGCTTTTGTGACCATGGAAACCATTGAGGATGCAGAACGCTGTATCAAGTATTTGAATCGCTCAGTGCTTGAAGGTCGATTAATTACTGTGGAAAAGGTATTAATTTATACCAAAGATGTAATAGTTAGGCCATAGTAAGGCTAAATCATTTATGTGGAATTTTATCTAAAACTCTGTTTTCTTTAGATGTGTTGCCTGATAAATTTTGGCAGCAGGTCTTGTATGTGTAGCTTCATCGAAATCTAAGCTCTTAACAGTTCAACCTGTACCCTCTCACGACAGGAGTTCCGCATTGACATTTCAAACTCATCGATTCAAACTCGACTATTTTGCTTAGGGTTGTATGCCCTTTTTTCCTTGTTTTCATCAGTAATGGTATCTGGAGAGGCTGTTTATTATTTGTGTCATTTTTGAAATACCCTCAAGACATACACGTTACATCAATTTTTTGGTCTTTTCATGCTTGTTCTTTGAAGGTGAATATCTTATCTTATTCATTACAATAAAGGTTGGTTTAAAAGATCAGTCAGCCATAGTTGAAATGCTTGCCGTAACAGCCCAAGGCTTGCATTGTTGTTTAATATTTTAGAAAATTTCTTGATGATTGTATAGACCTGTGCATATGTCTATATCATCTATGTGGGCAACTTACTGGATCTTCTTATAATGCAAAAGTTAGTTTCAAATTTTGCATGTTCTGGTGACAATATAACTATTTTGAGTAAATTACCGGCTTGCTTTATCTGCCATATGTAAACTTACTTTTGTGATAACAATGCAGGCAAAAAGGTCCCGAGGAAGAACACCGACTCCTGGGAGGTATCAGGGGTTGCGAGACAGGAGAGGTAAATATACTAGAATCACTCTTGCTATTGCATTTTTGTCAAAGTTCTTTATGATGTTTTCAAGTTATGTTGCTTTACTTTGAGTTTGTTGAAGTTTTTGTTTGTTTTTGCTTTATAAAAACTTTGTTAACTCTAGAGCTGGTAGGGCATTTCAACAGTGTTATCTTTGTTGATTATTCTTATATATTAAACAACATGCTAAATATATACAGGACAAGGTCGCAGACAGTCTCATAGTTACTCACCTCGACGACATGATAGAGATCATTATGCAAGGGGTAGGCAAGGAAGATCACGTTCTCATTCTCCATATGGTAGGAGATGAGATTGATTATGACTCATATAGGAGGCGCAGAGAATGCTCCTTGTCTGGTGCTGGCTGAGGTTATTGCAGATGAGAGAAAATTATTCTCCATGTGGTAGGAGAAGGGATGATTATTACTCATATAGGAGGTGCAGAGCATGCCCCTTGTCTGCTGATGGCAATGGTTATAATAGATGAGAAGTAATCATTCGAGTTGCAAGCGATCGTGCCACCACAGTTCAGTAGTTTCATACTTTCAGTAGATGAATTAATTCGGTTTTCCTGATTAATATGGTATCAATATAATTGTTACCCTTTTATCTCATCTGTATTTATGATGTACCCTAAACATTTGTATGACATTAACTTGGCTTTGTTTTTGCAACTAGCCATGATGATAGGTGAACAATGTGACCAGAAACATTAGAAAATGCTGCATTTATCAAGAGATGAAATTCTGGGTTTGAGAGGATCCTGGTATCCAAGGCTTATGATGACAGATTGTGCACATGTTGGAATCAATTTTGGAGGGAAAAAACCTTGACGCAAAAGAATTTTTGTTAAATTCATCGAAAGCACCAATGCTTGCCCTGCTTTGGCATGGAAAAAAAATCCAAAAGAAACAAATTTGAGCAGGTAAGTTTGAAATTTGAATATTGTATTTGAAGCAACTCTCTTTAAATGATTGGGAAATGGGTAAAGAGAAAAATAAAATATATTGACATTAAATTTAAAAAAGAATACGAAAAACAAAGAGGGAACATGTGGGGTTAGAAAAAGGCCCCACACTTTGAATCCTAAAATCTGAAAACGGGGATTGGACTTTAGAGTGCGTTCCAGCTGCCACAGCGGACTTCAAGTCAAATTTCAAATTTATTCAATATCTCTTTTAGTAAAATAAAAAGGTTTTTTTTTTTTGGCAAAACATATTTTATGTATATAAAAATTTTGATAATTGAATATTGTGTCACCAGTTAAAATATTAATTTAATTAAGTAAGTTACTTAAATATCAAAATCAATTTACGTCATAAGTAGCTTCATTCAGTTAGTGTTCTTATTTTTCATTTTTCAATAAAAATATTGAAAATGAAGGATAAATACTAAAAAATAAGTAGAAGGACCAATTACATAAAGTTCATAATCTATTTTTTCTCAAATATTTAGACAATTGCAATTTTTATCTAGGGAATGTGAAAAAATTACTAATAATAAAATAAATTTTGTTAAAAATATCTTAAATATTTTTTAAATTACTATATAAAAAAATTTTTCATCCAATATATTTTATTAACTATTACATTTTATTCAAAATATTATTATAAATAATATTAATTAAGTTTAAAGCAATTATTAGCAAAATCTTAATAAAACAGCTTGATAACTTTATTATATTTAATGTATGGTATGTAATAGTATAAGTGTTATTGTACGATTTTTCCTTGCTAAGATAAGATCCGACAGCTGGTTTACGACACGTGTACGTTGTTGGCTCTCCTTTGACGAAGCAACCGGTCATCGGCTTGGCTCTGTTTGGGCCTTGGGGATAAATGAGCGGCTTGGCCTGGCTATTAGTTACTGCTAAATGACAAAGTTGCCCAGTGGTGGACGCCGGTGTTGGATATGATCGGGTGAATCCTTGCCGTTGAAAATCGTTGTCCCCTCGGCTCTGAAGTTAAAATTGAGAAAAAAAACGGTTTTTGTTCAACCCATACCTTGAAACGAAGTTGAAGAGTTTACCATAAAGTTATGATATTTTTAAATATGAATTAATGATTAAGCCCATGCGTTCAAAATATGGATTTCGTTAATATTTTAAGATATTTTTTAAGATTATCATATAATTTTTTTCTTAGCATATACACAAAATTATTATAAAATAAAATAATATAATATTATAAATAAGATTAAATTAAATAATAACATCTTATTTTATATTTAATGTGTGTAATTTAAGATAAGATAACTTATTTATTTGTTAAAATTATTTTTTTAATTTATCTAATTTAAATTAAATTAACTCAATTTAAATTCTCATTATTCAAATTTTAAGACATGAGATTGAAGTCATAAGTTTAACATCTCCAAACTATATCAATAGTTAAGATATTTATTCATAAAATAAAAAAGATATTTTTATATCTGTTTATGAATTAAATTTTCGTGATTGTGATTAATATCATGATTCCATCATAAGTTCATAACACTTATGAAATCAAATTCATGAAATAGAAAAATCTATATATATAGCCATAATCCATGCATATAAGAAGTAAGATTAAGTTAAGATGTGTTTAGTTTTGACCTCTCCACTCAATAGGTATGAAATAAATTATACAGTTGAGATGAACTTGAAAGCCAAAAGTTACTATCATATTATTAAACTTAACTTGGATTTTGTGCGGTGGTAAACTATCCAATCAAATTGGTTTAATTCAAATTAGAATGTGATTGAATTTATTTTAATTTTTCTTTTTAATATTAAATCGATGTAAACTTTTTTTGTAAGTGTTGAGGGTTTAACTCTCAACATCTTTAACAATCATTAATTACCATAATCAAACTAGATGTTGTTGTTATATGTTTATTGCATTTAATACGTATTTAATCTTAAAAATATATATTATCAACAATAAAAGCACCCTTTAATCGGATCCATAGATTCAAGCTTTGTTTGATTATTTGAACATTGATTTTTTAATTGAATAATCAACTCATTTAAACAAAACAAAGTCAATTAATAAAAGTTGATAAAATATATCAAACAATATACCTATATATATTTTTATCATACCTTATGATCATGTTAGCAATATACTATCATTTTATCAATATCTTATATATAATTTCAGATAAATAGATACATATCAAATTAATTACATCATTTTTCATAATGAATAAAAGGAATGATCGGCCAGATAAGTAACACTCTCTACTTTGCCTTTATTTGTTTTTTTTTTTTTTTTTTAATTTGATTGACTTAAGTTTCAAAGCGTTATCATGAGATCTTTTTATCTTATTCTCTGTAATAAATTTGATACATTCTCCCCCTTAACATCTAACTAACTCCACTTATACAAGATCATAAATTACATCAACAATATTTTTATATATACATGCATAATTGAAAACATTCAAAATAATAAAAAATAATATTATATTACCATACAAACAAATTCAAAAATCGCTTAAAGAGCATTCTAAACTTTCAAATTCCACTCTATCTATTCTTTGAGTTAAATAAATTATATGATAAACTTAATTCAACATTTATCAATACATTACTTTTTTACAAAAAAAAAAATCAAAATTTGAGATAAAAGATAAATATTTAAATTAATTTTAAATAAATTAAATATTATTTATTAAAAATAATTATATAAATCTAAAATTTCTAAACCTCAGTTCCATGTATAAAGTACTCAATTATAATTAAACGTTTTCCATGCTTTTACCTTAGTACTGCTTGCTAAAATGATTGATGGATCGACGAGGTGACAAAATTGAGAGAGAAAAAAAATGAGAAACCAATATGCACTTAACACAATCACGAGTCACGAACAGTTCGTGTTCGGTAAGTGCGCAGAAAATACAACCATGCAAAACAATTTTCTCAACAAACAAGAAATCCAGGGCCCCACAAGATCATTATCCGCCTAGCATTACTTTATTCCGGGCCCCGCAGCCAATAGTTACGTACGACAAAAAATCCCATTACTAACGCTCCCCGCTCATTAGCAGTTAGCCGAGCCATCATCCCCCAAAGGATTTAGCAGAAACCGAACCGGGTATCGCCGGTTACAAAAGAAAACGAAAGCAGTGACCGTACGGCACATGGCAGGTCGTTTCCATGGCAGTTGGTAAGCATTTAGTGTGCTTTCTCTCTCTTCAGTTCTTATTTCTTTGTATTTTGAACTGCATTTTTTCATGGATTTCAATTAAACCTTTCTCTTTTCTCTTAAAAGCTGTGCATTTTCCAGTTTCTCTCTGCTCAACTCCCAGCCGTTTTTTTTCTCATCCATTTAAAAAAAAAAAACACATTCAGTTCAGATCCGTTACAAACCCGATTTTCTTAACCTGAAATCCAATATCCCTGACCCGGAAATTTTTCCTGGTACTCTGTTTTATTCCTTCTTTCAGCTGTTTGGCATTTTTCTCGTGCTCGGCAGGTACACCAGATTTTTTGGGTTTACTTTCTTTTATTCAATTCAAGATTCTTTTATAACATAATCTTCATGTGTGAATGGATTGCAATGCTAAAAAAGCTTCTTAATTCTCGCTTGGGTTTTTTTATTTTTTTGGTTACATATTGAATTTGAGCAGAATTTTGACCTTTTTCAACGTTTCCCTTACTAATTTCCCGAAAGAAAATGCAGCAAAGAGAATTTTATCTCTTTCTTTTGCTCTCTCTCTGTTTTCTTCTTAGATTAATGGGATTTTTTTTGAAGCGTAACCGGTCTTGATTTATTGTTCTAAGTTTAAATTTTTTATGCTTACCTTATATAGTTAAATGGGTTTTTTCTTCACTATAAACATTTTTTTTTTAAGTTTTTGTTCTGTAGTTGGGATTCATTATGTTTCCTTATATGCTTAAATTCTCTCAGCAACCAAACACAAATTTTCTTCCTTGGCCAACTTTTGTTGGCTATTGATCTGCACAATTCAGCTTTAATTTTTTTTTTTCACGGGTTGATGATTAAAAATACGGCAGCTTTGATTGTTTCAAGTTCTTACTACTTAAAGGTTTTAACTCAGTTGCGCTTGTTTCAGGTGATTATCAGCATACTTAAAAGCTGAAGCTTGATTATGAGATAGCATCGTCTACTTTGTTTTTTTTTTTTTTTTGGGGGGGGGGGTGTTTCATTTATTGAGATCAATCCTAGTCCCGTGAATCAGTGATTGGTTTCCCCAAAGCTAAATTCGCATTCAAATCTTACTCAAAATATTGGTGTCAGTGACCAATCTTTCTCTTCTCTGGCTTCAAATTAATTACCCTTTATATATTCTGGGATTCTCTTTGTACTTTCTTAAAGCCTTTCATGTCTTCTTTTTTACAGCGTCATAAGCTAAAGCTCAGAATCTTCTATTAGAAAACAAAATTAATTTGAAGACAGTTGGGGCTGATGAGTTATTGATTAGCAAGTCAACTGCGTTTTTGAGGATCTGGGCATTTGGATTGGGGTTAAACTAAGTCTTGACAATTGAACTTTGGGGAGGAAAATGTTGGAGCATGAGCTGTGTTCATCTCGGGTCCTGTCGCCGTTCAGGGAGGAAAGCGGCGATGAAGAGCTTTCAGTTCTACCGAGACACACAAAAGTTATTGTCACAGGAAACAATAGAACAAAGTCTGTATTGGTTGGTTTGCAAGGCGTGGTCAAGAAGGCTGTGGGCCTTGGTGGTTGGCATTGGCTGGTATTTCCCTTTATTTACATTATTATGGGCTTTTTTTTAATTAACTGTTTGATGGAAATTCTCCATAATTAATGATGAAGTTGCTTTAGCCTTTAGTGTGTTCTTAAGATCGCCTCTAAAAAGAATTAGGTTCACACAAAGTTTAAGAACACCCTTGACCGTATTATGAAAAAAAAGAAAATACAAATAAGTTGGTCTAAGTCCTAAACAAGTGGTTTTTAATTGATTTGGATTATTCTCTGATTGTTTTAATTTTAATTAATTTACTTTGTTTTTTCACAGCCCATTGTAATTGGTTTACATGTAATATTATACTTGTATCTTACATGTGATTGGTTGTATTTTTAGTTACTACTAGTACTATTATTTACTTTATTAAGGTGAGATTTTTTTTTTTTTGCATGCAGAAATTACTATATAAATCCATGTATTTCGGTCTCGGTTTTTGTGTACAGTTTTGCTCGTTACAGCCCCCCAAACTCTATGACTCGCTCTGATGATGCAATTAGACGCTTTTATGTATATCTGGCAGAGATGATTGACTTTTTCTTTAAACTCAAATCTGTTTGATCTAATAGTTTGATTCCAAAAAAATTTTAAAAATTCTGATAGTTGGACCACATAGATTTTGATAGAACACTTTTGTGATCCATCCAGTGATCAAATTCTGTTTTCCTCAATCAAGGAAAATAAAAAGAGAGAGCTACTTTTCCTGTTTGTAAATTGATTCTTAACAGGTTATTCAATTTGTTTTGCATACTGATTTGTAGCTTTAACTGTTGCTTAGCTTTTCCTCTGTTTCTAGTTGGACAGATGGACCAGACATCAACTTAGTTTGTGATGTTTTTCCTTAAATGAAATTGTTCATGATAAGATTGGGTCTTTTTCTTGATAACTGAAATTGACGTGTGATTTATTTGTTGCTAAACCCTGTTATAGCTAGATTGCACTTACTCTGTCAACTTTTATATTATGGAAGAATCATATTTTGTGACACTAGTGCTGCCGTTTTTTAGGTTTTGAAGAATGGGGTTGAAGTTAAGCTGCAAAGGAATGCATTGAGTGTGCTGGAACATCCTACAGGGAATGAAGTAGATGATGATCGTGATTTTGATAACTCAAGCAGTGGCTCTGACATTGGTGAGAAGGACCATGATTTCTGTAAGTCAAATGATTTCATGCCATAAAAACTTTCGTAACTAAAAATTATTCACGTTGCATTTAACATTGTGATAATCTCCTTTTTTTTTCACTTTGGACAGCTAGTAGCATCGTGTTCCACAGGACTGCCAAACCAAGAGTACGACATACAAAACCATGGGTTCCATCTGCATCTATGAAATCAACAAATCGTAGTGGTTACAGATATGTTCGATCCATTATTCATGCACTTGAATCGGTTAGTTTTGCCGAATGTTGCAGTGTGCGTCTGATTAGCCTTTGTTTTATAATTTTGTACTTTACATATTTGGTGCCCTAGTTGTGGGAACTTTGACTATTGCCTTTTCGCCGCCTATAATTGAGCAAATAATTCTTAGTGCGTTTTATCATCTGTTTCCCAATTCTGAAGGTAAAGTTGGCAAGACTTGACACCGACTCCTTGAGAAGATATTGCAGGCACTTTAAACTTGTAGGTCCTACTAACTCTCACCTTGATGAATTTTTTTTGAAGATCTACATGAAATTGTATTTATCTAATTAAAGAAGTTATTTTATTTTGAATTGTAGGAAGGCATCAATGCTTATTCGCCAAGGGAACTAATGCTTTTTACTGTGCAGCAGCATTTTGTGTCACAGGTCAATCATCTCTGAGACTCATGCACATACACACAAACGTGCCATATTTTCGCACCTTTGCATGGATCTAACATACGTTCTTTGATACAGCCACCACTGAATGAGGCACAAGTGATCTCAGAATTCATCACCGCAGCTAAGAGACTGAAAACTGATGACACACGGAGTGAGCAACTCTGAATGTTTTCAACATTGTGTAATTACATACATATTTTAGCTCTAACCTTAGATTTGAACTAATTAAAAGACTAATTGGGAAGAGTTATCGATTGACCAACCGGATTCTTCTAACCTTGTAATATAGGGCTTGTGCCCTTTGTTACTGTTTTCTTCTAGTATATCTACTATTCCAATAGTTCATCATACCCAACCCTTCCGTGAACTTCAGTGGAACCACGAGCGAAATCTTGGATATGTTCTGAAACTTCACCAATGGTGGCATGATGTAAATCAAGACGTTTTGGAATTGAAATAAACCAGCCCCCAACCTCAATTATATGATGGTGATTGCACAGAAGCCAGGCTGGCATTTGGTGTCACGGTATCTGTGCAACTGTGGGTAGTGGGGACGTATATTCCCGACCTGCCTCAAGTTTCAAATCAAGGACTCTACCTTCTTTAATTATTTGCTGGTGATGGTTAAAAGTCAAGTGGATGTGTGACCCTGACCGACCGCCTTCAGGCCCTTTTTTGTCCGGTGATGGGCATGGCAGTGTCGCTTAACAATTCCCGGCTATTAAGTATTGCAAACTAGCCATTCGCTTCTGATTGGATCAGCCTCCATATGCTTAAAAGGTTTGTAATTAGCAGCTAATACCACAATAAAATTGAGGCAAGGCTGCGTTTGGGAGCAAAATGCGGTGACTGGAGTGTCGTTTTAGCACTCCAATGCGATATGGGAAGCCTTTCCAATGGCACTTAAAATGGGGGCCTAACATTATTTTGTTGAATTTTTTATAATTCAATTGTGTCCATCCATTTGGCAATGATAAAAGCTTTTCCCGATCTGTTTCTGGCAATGAGCGATTGACTAATAAAAATAAGGTCTGTGTCTTAAGACGATGCTTAAAAGATAAAAGGGAATAGACATGCAAACTATATAAAGAATTTGGTGCATAGAAATTCATTTCGATGAATGTTTTGACAGCATGGTGCCGTGTGACTTGAGTTACATTTGTTCTCTATGTATCATTATGACTGGATAACCACGACGTTATTCTGCGATATTTCATACCTATGCCTAACATCTTTGACGGGAAGGAATTAAGTTAGGCCGTTTCTCTTTCCAATATGGGCGTCATTTTCCTTGTTTTTGCCTTGTAAATCTCATGTAAAAGGGATTTCATTTCAATCTTAAAATCTTCTGTTAATTATAGTTTTTTGAATTTATCATATATTTAAATTTAGATATTATTTTGACTGTAAATTGATGGACCACATCTAATTAACCTTAAAATATTTAAAAGTTTTTAGGTGTTGAGATTTAAACGTTAAGCATATAGAATATTATATTTTAAAAGTAATTATATAAATTTTAAATAATTTGTTTGACTTTTACGCAATTGTGTTTTCTTGCCTAACGAATGTCAACGTCTCTTGTATTTTGTCAGAAGGTAATCTCCCTCACTAGTTGTCTTTGTTAGCATTGAATTTTAGGCCATCCCCATCAAAATAAATCTTCCCCATTTTTTTTGGTCGTAACAGAGAGCCAATCATGAAACGAACCTAATCCAAAAAAGGCCATTAGAAATAAGAAAAGCCCAATTATGAAACCCAATTTCCATCAGCCCAGCTCTGTTTTAACACTTACAGAAATTCCAATCGCTAGTAGCATGGCCAGATGTCCATCTGCAAAATAAAAAAAGTCGAAAAGACTTTTCAATTTTGCTTTTGGAAAGGGAAGGATCAAATCAAAAGAGTAAAGTCATGCTTATCTCATCAATTTTCAATGTTTTTTCCATTTTTAATATGGCGCGTAGAAAAACTGGAGAGGTTGGCGCGTGGAAAGAATCCCAAAAACACAATTCAGTTTTCATGGAGTCTTCCTCTCTCAGGGAAACCTGATCTCCCACGCAAAAAGAAGCATAACAAATTACACTGAAAAAAAAAAAAACGTAATTCTCTTTTTTTATTTTTCTTATTATTGAATTTTCACTTGGAATTCTTGAATTCATTTCCAATCGAAGTTTCAATCAGCAGGTAATTTCATACCCTATTCAACTTTTTTTTTTGGAATTTAGCTCTCTATGTATTAATCAAATTATGGTTTCTCTAGGGTTTTACTAAGCATAAGTTGATTAATTTTTTTTCTTATTAGCTCTTAAATTGTTGAATTATTGATAACTTTTACTGGGTTTTTCCCATCCTTATGAAATTTAGTCCTTTAGCTATAGCTTTTGATTTTCTTTATTTTATTTCTTATTTATTCCTTTCTATTATTACATTTATCATTTTTAGCTATTTCCATGCTAGTTGGTTATCCGATAGAAGTCTGTTGTATTGGTAGTTGATGAAGAGTAACTTAAGGCAACTCAGTCTTGGTTGATTTCTTATTGAATTTACCTGTTTTAATTGTTATTACTGTTGTTTCAGCACATGGGTTAATTGTAGTTTGTCAAAAAAAGTGTGCTTTGATAAGAAGTTCTAAGACCACCAACCGTGATTACTCGAGGAGTGGAAACTTGGGCATTTTATCTTTCCAGTTATCAGAATCTTGTTTAGTTTTCTGTTTACTTTATTCGTCTATTTGGATGAATTTATGTTGAAGTTCTTGGTATGGAATAGCAGGAAAATTGAATTGAGTAGGTTTCTAAACTTGGTTCGTGTTTGACAATCAGTAATGGATGTTGCTTTTGGTTTTACATCTATAATTCTGTTACTACTTGTTGTTCAGAACATAGAAAATTTTGTAGTATGTGCTACAATGAGTAGAATACCTGCCATGTTGGCTTTCTTTTAGGGTCTTATTCATGTTTCTTATCATCTATTTGTATGTTGATGAAAGGTGTATGCTAGAAGCTACATAATTTTGTTACTTTCTGTTGGGTTTTACTTTTGCTCCAAGAACATTGTGCTGTTGGTTATTTTTATGGAACTTTCTATTTACAATATCTTTCACATTGTCATGCGGCATTTGGCATGTATATAATTTACAGAGTTAACTGGATGGTATATTATGCTGTTTATATCTTCAAGAGTGATTTTAGTCTTTTTCTTATAACAGATTTTCTCACATTGTGGTAGTGTGGGATTGTAATATACCAAGAACCAGTAGTGTTATATGGGCAGTGGACATAAGTAAAAGGAATGGGAGGTTGCTGCTGTTGCTCTTCTGGACGAGTTGAAATAAATAGTGCACCATCATATTTTTACGTTAGTATCATTTTCTTCCTCCATGGAAATGTTTTTCTGTATTTTTTTTCTTTTAGTTTTATCAGCCTAATCTTCTCATCCTCACTTCTCATGTTGCAATTGACTTCGTATGTTTTGAATTCGGTGTCAACTGATCTCAAGTTCAGTGTAGAGTACTGTCTGTTTATATTTTATTAGGTGCCACACTGCAAAATTTCAGGGGTGGATGCATGATGTGACTAAAAAATAAGTTACACTGAACTCTCTAGTGCACTTAGAGGATAAAAATGTCTTAAATTCGCTGAAATGCTGGAACCCCTTTATTTTTACTGCATGTAACCGATTATAATGTTTCCAATTGTTAATTCTCTAATCACCATTACTAAGTTGCTCATGAATCATGATTTCTGCCCACCTACACATGATACTAAAATGGGTCAGAGTTAAACTGTAGAACAACCTGAAAACAGAAAATGAATATTCAAAATTTCTTGTTGACCTGTCCATTCTCATACTTATTATTTATTAGAAAATGGATTACTTAAATACTTATCCAGGTAAATTGAACTAATTGTTTATCATATTTAATGCATTTTTGTTATCTTCATTTGGGTTGAACTTCTTTCTTTTAACAGTACCCAAGAGCGTCAGATGAGCATGTACCTTTATCTTCTCACAGTGGTGCTGCCTCTGCCCTCTCAACCGGGCTCCTGGTTGACACAAATCTGGTGGTATCTGTTCCTGATGCTTATAGACCTCCTCCTGCTCCAATGCCGTTCGATGCAGTTTTAGGACCTCCTCAAACTCCTTCAGTGGCCCAAGGAATTCATAACAGTAAGAGCAATGAAGCAGTGCAAACAACAAATGTCGATTCAAGTCAAGAAACAGTTGCTGTCAATACCCTAGAGACTTCTATAAAATCTGGGGACATAAAGGAATTGGTCTACAAAGTGGAGTCCAATACCGAAATTGAGTCACCAAAGGGGCTAGAAGTTGAACTTTCAAAACTAGTTGAACCGATTGTGTCTACAAAGGAGGAGGAGGTGGATGTTTGTCCCACCTGTTTGGAAGGTATGTCTTCCCCTTGCCATTTTTGAACTTTTTCTCCCCCCACTGCCTAATAGGTGTTGCATTTTTTCTGCTAAGCCGTATTTCAACTTTCAAGTAGAAAGGTTGTTGATAGACCCTTTTTCTGTCCTTTCCTGCAGAGTATGATGCTGAAAATCCTAAAATTATCACAAAATGTGAGCATCATTTTCACCTTGCATGTATTCTTGAATGGATGGAAAGAAGTGACACATGTCCTGTGTGTGATAAGGTTTGTCTCAAAACTATTTTCGTCTGTTATAAGTCAAAAGGAATTATTCTATGTAACCTATGGAAATAACAATCTAAGTCTCTTATGTTGCAGGAAATGATATTCGACCTAGCCACTGATTAGGTTCCTGGTGGTGGACTGAGCTTTAGCTGCTTGAAATTAAGTTTGTTGCAAAGGTTACAACTTACCACACATCAACATTTCAGTTTTTTACCTTTTCCCTCATTCGTTGTCATATATTTCGTGGCTGCTGCAAATTTGGCAATAGTTTGGTGGATTTCTGTTTCTTCATTTCCTTTTTCTGCTTGATTTTATAAGAGAGTCATGCCTATTTGTGAGCATAGTGTCTTTGTACTTTCATCCCTTGAACCTTGAAATATTTGAAAATGAATAGATGAAAAGAAAGGAGAAAAATATACAGTAAAAACTAGACAGAAACAGGTTTGATACCATTTCAGAGGTTAATGTTTAATGGACTATGCATTCCCCTAAAATGTTTAGATGAGCATGTGATGTCATAGTTTCTCTACCTTCAGCATTAGATGAGTGCCCGAAGTTGCGTAAAGGAGGGAATACGATGCTGTCATGCTGATTTCTTGTGCCTTCTTTGTCCAGAAAACCTTCCCCAAAGCTGCACGTTAACTCTTTCTTCTCGCATACATACATACATACATACATACATACATACATACATATATATATATATATATTCCATGAACCTGCAAACTCAGATCTTTCAAACAGATGTTTCCCTCCTTTCATTGGATTTCTTCTGTTAATGGCTTGTATGGTTACGTGAAATTGTTTGATGGTGGTGGATGTGCTTTTGTTATGAGTTTATGAATTCCTTAGAATGATGAGAATCTTATTTGTGTAAAGAATTTCCCTTTTTTTAAAAAAAAAAAAATGCAGAAGGGATAAACTGAATAGGCATTTTGTATATTAAATGATTCATGTATATAATAAAAGTATAATTTTCACATCAAAGTTTGATCGTTGCTCTTATTTTTCATTATCACTTTTTCCTCTTATGCGCCTAAGGGTATGAAACTCGGTGGCTATTTCCGATGGTTGATTAATTAAATTACATTTCATTTTCACTTGGCAACTAACCATGATTTACAGGACTTTATTTTTACTTGTTATAGTTCATTATCGTCAGAGATATTTTACTTTTAATACCATGACTAGAAAAATTACGTGGCGATTACAAATTTTTTAATTTTGATGAAATATAAATTATATAATTTTTTTATTTAATAATTAAAATTTTTTTAGTATTTTGTTGGTTTTCTTTTTTTTTGCAAAATATAATCTTTTGAAAAAAATTAAAAAAAATTAATGCTCAAATTATGTCACTCAGTCGTAATTGATCGAGTGTCGGTGGCTTTTATTTTAAATAAGAGATTATTTTTAAAAAATTATATAAATTAACTCAACACACAATAATATATATATATATATGAAAATTCAAACTATTGATACAATATGTACTTATTATCAGTATTGATCAATTATTAAATTTAAATTCATTTATCTAAGGAATCAAAGCCTACTAATATCATATGTTCAACTTAATTTTTTAAGGGAAAATCAACCAATAATTTTAATATGATAAGAAAGTTATTATAGTAATTTTGATCCATGATGATAGGAGGGTATTTTTATAATTATGATTGTAAAAGCATTATAATAACTTCAGCTAAACATGGTAAAAAAATGCATTTTAGTAATTATTTTTAAAAAAGTATTATAGTAATTTTAGTCAACATAGAATGAGGGACATTATAATTGATTTTGATGCGCGTCATTCAATTGTCCAACAATTAAATGAACATTACGATCATTTCTAAATGAATCACTTTTATATAATTCTATTAATGTTAAAATTTAATGTATAATTATTAAGCAATCAAATGGTTATTTTCGTAATTATGCTTAAAGAGTTTTATATAGTAATTTTGGTCAATTATAATATGAGAAGTATTTTCATAAGTATGGTGAGAAAGGCATAATTGTAAATTTGACATATGATGGTATGAAAGCATTTTCGTTATTATGATTGTAGGATATTATAGTAATTTTAGACAATTATGGTAAAATGAGTATTTTAATAATTATGTTAAGAGGGATATTATAATAATTTTAGTTAATCATAAAAATAAAAGCATTACAGTTAATTTGGATGCATATAATTTAATTGTCTAGTAATTAAAAAGGATTATGATCATTTCTAAAGGGATTAATTTCATATTATTATATGAGTGTTTAAATTTAATGAGTAATTATGAAGTATTCAAAAAGTATTTTCATAATTATGCTTAAAGGGTATTATAGTTATTTCGGTCAATTATAATATGATGAATATTTTTGTAATTCTAGTAGGAGAGACATTATATGAAGCAATCAAATTTTTTTTTTTTTTGTAATTATGGTTATAAGGTGTTATTGTAATTTTAACTAATTATAATGAGTGGTATATTCGTAATTATGATTAGAAATATTATAATTATTTTGACAAATTATAATATGAGGATATTTTCGTAATTATGGTATAAGAGGCATAATTGTAATTTTGCCATATAATGGTAGGAACTGACTTTTGTAATTATGATTGTATGGATATAATATTAACTTTGGGTAATTATAGTAATAAGGGTATTTTAGTAATTATGTTAAAAAATCATTATTGTAATTTTAGTTAATCATAGAAAAAAGGGTATTACAATTAATTTTGATGCAAGTAATTCAACTGTCAAATAATTAAAAATGTATCATAATCATTTATAATGGAATTAATTTCATATTATTTTTTGAATGTTAAAATTTAATGAGTAATTATGAAGCAATCAAAAGGGTATTTTCATAATTATGTTTATGAGGTATTATAGTAATTTTAATCAATTATAATATGAGAGATATTTTGTAATTATGGTATAAAAGGCATTATATAAAACAATCAAAAGGGTATTTTTTTTGTAGTTAGTATTATAGTAATTTGAACCATTAGAATATGAAAGGTATTTTTTGTAATTATGTAAGAGGGTATGCTCGTAATTCTGATTAGAGGATATTATAAAAATTTTGGTAAATTATAATATGTAGGGTATTTGCATAATTATGGTAGAATAGGCATATTATAGTAATTTTGACATATGATGGTAGAAAAGCATTTCATAATTATGATTGTAAGAGTATTATAATAACTTTGGATAATTATGGTAAGGGATATTTTTATACTTATATTAAGAGATGTATTATAGTAATTTTAGTTACTCATAAAAAATGGGCATTACGGTCAACTTGCATGCATGTAATTCAATTATCAAGTAATTAAAAAAGTATTATGGTTATTTCTAATGGTATTAACTTTATATTATTATACGAATGTTAAATTTAACGAGGAATTATGAAAAAATCAAAAAGATATTTTCGTAATTATGCTTAAAAGGTATTATAGTACTTTAAGCTAAGTCAATTATGATATGAGGATATTTTCGTAATTATGATAAAATAGACATTATATGAAGCAATCAAAAGAGGTTTTTTGTAATTATAATTAGAAGAATTTATAATAATTTTAGCTAATTATAATATGAAAGTTATTTTGGTAATTATTGTAATAGGGTATTTTCATAATTATGATAAAAGATATTATAATAATTTTGATAAATATAATATAAGAGGTATTTTTGTAATTATGATAAGAAAGGTATTATAATAATTTTGACAAATGATGGTTGGATGGTATTTTTGTAACTATGGTTGTAGGAGTATTATAGAAACTTTGGCCAATTATGTTAAGAGGGGGCATTATTGTAATTATGTTAAAAGAGATATTATAATAATTATAGTTAATCATAAGAAAAAGGCAATATAATTAATTTAAATGTATGTAATTCAATTGTCTAAGTAATTGAAAAAACATTATAATCATTTAAAAAATGATTGATTTCATATTGTATGAATATTGAAATTTAATAAGTAATTATAATTAAAAAGATATTTTTGTAATTATTCTTAAATGATATTTTAATAATTTTAGCCAATAATAATATGAAATATATTTTCATAATTATGTTGGAAAAAGTATTATACGAAGTAATTGAAAGGATATTTTTATAATTATAGTTAAAGAGTATTATATTAATTTTAGTCAAATATAATATAAAAATATTTTCATAATTATGATAAAAAAATTTGATATATGCAAGTCTCAAACAAAAAAATATATATATATATAGTTTTATAATTTTTAAAAGTATTTATTAAATAATTTTTAAAAAGAATAAACAAATAAAAAAGTAAAACATAAAAAAATGACATGCAATAATCAAAGAAAGCATACTATTCAAGTGTGCTAAAAAAGAATTAAAAAAAATCTTAACGACATTTTTTCATTTTAAATAAGAGAAACCAAAAAGCGTAAAAAAAAAAGTTTAATATAATAGGTTCCACATATAAAAATACAAAATTTACAAATATATATATTTTTATAATTTTTAAAAATTTATTAATTAAAAAAAAGAAAAGAAACAAAAAAATATCAAAGAAACAAAAAAACCAAAAAAATAGAAAGGACCAATGATATGGTGACACATGGCAAATCATATGGTAAATGCAAAATAGGACGAATAAGATTATGACACGTGGCATGATGAGGACAATGCCTATATGCAGCATTTATATGACGGGTTGTCATGAAAGGCAAATGAATTTTATTCATTAAATTATGTCATAAAGCATTAAATTTTTTAATTTTTTAATTTTTGATAATTTTAATTATAAAATAAAAATAGTGTAGTTGATAGGCTGATTAATTTTTAATTTTCGTAATTAACATTAATTTTTGACAATGTTAATTAGTTTTCATGATTAGATCTATTTACGATTATCTCAATTATAAACAAGATTATTGTATTTTAATATACATATATATATATATATATTTGCATACTTGATAGAAAACCACATTTATAACTTTCTTTTATAATTTTTTTTTCCAATGAAATAATGACTTTAAAGTTAAAACAATGATTAAGAGCCAAAAAATAATTCATATTGACATTTAACATATTCTAAAAGCTCTTAAAGTCTTAATAATTTGTTTTTTATATTTTATAATCGTTAAAGTTAAATTAAATAAAATAAATACATAAGAAGTATTTATAAAAAAATAAATATTACCATAAAAATAAATAAATAAATAAGAAGTAAAGTTTTTTAATAAAAAAATAAAAATAAAAAATGATAATTATTTTTACAGTCGAATCATTCAACTTTTCATATCTTCTTTTCATTTGTTTCGTTTCCATTTTCTTGTGGAGCACTAACTTGAACGTTAAAATACAAATATTGAAAAAACTTCGAACATTTGCTATTAACTGATCTTTTATCCTGTAATTTCAGGTTTTGGCATTAATTAAGATTAGGGTTGTAAACGAGCCGAGTCGAGTCGAATAGTAAGAAGTTCGAGTTTGAGTTCGACTCATAATTCGGGGCTCGATACTCGGTTTGAATTCAATCGAATTTTATTTTTCAAGTTTGAGCTCGATTCGTGATCGAATTCGAGCTACTCGAGCTCGCTCGATTAAGCTCGATTAATATGTAAAAATAAGCTCGATTCGTATACTCGACAAGAGTTCGATTATTCATACTCAAACTCGAACTCGGACTCGAAATATTTTATTAATTAAAATAATAAAAATATATTTAAATATAAAAATTCGATTAGGCTCGCGAGCTACTCAAATTAGATATAAGAATACTCGAATTCGACTCGATCGATAAGTCGAACTACTCGAGCTCGAGCTCGACTCGATAATAATTGAACCGAATTCGAATTTTTTTCAAATCAAATCCGAATAATTTGCGAGTACTAATGTATCATTTACACCCCTAATCAAGACAGCTCAACACCGAACAACCTTTTAATTTGAGATTATATTTAGAGTTGAAAGTTTCTCCCATACTACTAATTAGAGGGATATTAATGCTGTATATTCCAATCTTAGTAGAGAACAACATACACTCAGATTCTGCAGAATATAACTAAATATTAAATGAATTTATATTATATAAAGAAAGATAATTTTCTTAACTGTTTAAATTTAGAATATAGTATTTTCCAATAAAAGAAAAAGAATAAAGCATTTCTCTAAGTTTGTTAAAAGGAAATGTGAAACCCCAGCGGAGCACTCACAAACTTTGATGCCAAATTCTCCAACTTTTTTCTTTTGGAAATGGAAAACCCGTTAGGCCAGACCATGGCCAGGCTATGGCAATAAGTGTGAGAGCAATACAAAAAAGGTCTCTATGTCACCCAACTTCCTATAATAAAATATGTTATCTGTTCATCAAAACATAGCTTGTTCTTCATAGCCCCATTCAACCCTTTCCAACCTCCTCTAGGCGATTTCTAGACGATTTTTGGGATGTTTCCATCATCATTGATTTTAATCTCTTCATTATAATATCTAATATCACCGTTATAATAATTAATATTATTTTTATTATTATTTTTAATCTTATTAGAATTAATCTTACTATCTATTAGATTTTTAAAAGTTAAAATAATGATGAAGAGCCAAATTATGTTGACTTTATGTAATTTTCATTCAACCTATTCTTGAAGCTCTTAAAGTCTTAATAATTTGTTTTCTATATTTTATGATTGGTAAAGTTAAATTAAATAAATAAAAATAAAAATAAATAAAAAGTATTTATTTGAAAATTAGTAATATAAAAATGAGATAGTTACTATTACAAAAAACCAAAATTGGCAGATTAATAAAATTTGAAAATTAATCTAAAATAAGATGCTTATATACAAAATTTTTGTTGTAAATGAAATCTTAAACATGTTTAAATTATTTAAAATTTTATGGAATTTATCTATTTAACAAATTTTATCAATCTATTAGATTTTAAATTTCTTTAATATTTAAAATTATAAAAAATCAACTATTAATCACTAAAATAAAAAAGTTAATATTCTATAAACAAATCAAATAATTATTTATTACATTTTAATTTTATTTAATCATTTGTATCAAATGGTATAAATAGATGAAATTTATTTTTATGTTATAATCAATGGTAAGAAAATGTCCTAAAAATAATTTATAAGACTATTTTAGTACTATAAACTTTTAATAACTACTAATAATAATATAAATATTACTAAAAAGGAAAAATATATAATTAGTGGCAATAAATTTTAAGTTCTAATATAATTGATTGTTTCGAATCACCTTTTTTTTTTTTGGGTCTAAATTTACCAAAAAAATCTACATCTACTAACCCTGTTATTAAAAAAATGGGATTCAAAGCCGAAAATAAAAGATTGAAATTTTTTTGGGATTGGTTTGCTTCAAAGTCCATTTGGAATCTTCTTCTTTGTTTTTGAATCCATAATTTTAATTATAAAATAAAAAAAAATAGTGTGGTTGATAAGGTGATTAAATTTTAGTTTTCGTGATTAATTAATTTTTGACAAATTTAATTAGTTTCATGATTAAATTTTTCTAACAGTTATCTCAATTACAAACGAGATTATTGTATTATAATAATTGTTTTTTGTTAACTTGTTAGAAAACCACATTTATAACTTTATTTTATAAAAAAATTATTAATTGTTTCAATGAAATATCGTCTTAGGCTCAATTTTGACGCAATTGCATTCATGATGAGTGCCAATTGCATGCATCCTTAAAAGCTATTGAAAATTCATTTGGGAGATATGACGACGGTTCAACTGAATGTGTTGATGACGGTCTAGTGGAGAGAATAACTATCAACTTTGGATTTTTTAATTTTTTTACCCTTTACATTTGTATTATATTACAAAGATAATAATATTTTTATAATTTAACGTTTTTATTTTGATTTTTATTTAAAATTTATAAAATAATTTTATTAATTTAATATAATAAATTTTTATTATTTTTAACTACTTTTTTATTTTTAATTTTTATTAGCAAAACTATTAATTTATTTAAAATATTTTAAAATTTTTAATAATTTATTAAATTTAAAAATATTAAATAATTTAAAGTCTGTATTAATATAATTTTTACTCTAATATTTTTAATAATTATTTTTTATTACAATTTATTTATCTTACTGTTGTCATTACTTTTACATTCAAATATATATATATATATATATATATCACAAATTAATTTTAGTTACACCTCTACAATATTTAATTTTATTATTATAATAAATATTATTATTATTATTTTTAATTTTATTAAAATCATCTAAATCAGACCCTTAAAAATTAAAATAATGATAAAGAGTCAAAAAGATAATTATGACTTTTTACAATTGACATTCAATATATTCTTGAAGCTCTTAAGGTCTTCATTATTTTTTATATTTTATGATTGGTAAAGTTAAATTAAAATAAATAAATAAATAAATCAAAAGTAAAGCTTTTTAAGAAAGGAAGTGAAAAATAAAAGATAATAATTACTTTTACAATCGCATCCACGTGATTCAATTTCCAATTCTCAATGCTTCTAATAAATATGAATATTTTTCTAAAAATACGATAAAATGTAAACAAAATTTCTCATGTCGAGGTTGTGGAGTTTTTACGAAAATAACCGAATAATAATTACTAATAAAAAAAATCAAAATTGGTAGATTAATAAAATTTGAAAATTAATCCAAAATAATATGTTTATATACAACATTTTTGTTGTAACTGAGAGAGTGAAATCTTAAAACATATTTAAATTATTTAAAGTTTCATATACTCTATCTATTTAACAAATTTTATAAATCTATTGTATTTTTATATTTAAAATTATTAAAAATTAAATATTGATGACGAGTTTAATATTTTATAAATAAATTAAATTATTATTAGTATCATTTTAATTTTATTTAATCATTTCTATCAATTATATAAATAGATGAAATTTATTTTTATGTTATAATTAATGGTAGAAAAATGTCCTAAAAATAATTCATACTACAATTTTAACATTGTGAACTTATAAAAACTAGTAATATAAATATTAGTAAAAATGAAAAATATATAATTAAAGGTAATAAATTTTATGTTCTAATATCATTGATAGTAATCACCTATTTTGTTGTAAAAATTCACCAAAAAAAAAACCTACATCCGCTAACCCTGTTATTATCAAAAAGAGATTCAAAGCGAAAAATAAAAGATTGAATTTTTTTGGATTGATTTGCTTCAAAGTCCATTTGGAATCTTCTTCTTTGTTCTTGAAATCATAGTTTTGCTAATCTTTAATTGCCCCCTCTTTCTCTCTCTCTTTTTTTTTTTTTTCCAAATACCCACTGATCATTTTTCAAAAATCCCAAAACAGAACAAGCTTAATCTAGTTGTCTTCACTCTCTTTGTTTTGTTTTTTTTTTTTTTTTCCTTTCTCTACAACTTGTAGATTTTATTGGGCGGCTTGAAAGCAAATACAATCAACAAAACCAAATACCCAACAAAATATGAGGTAATAACTTTGGAGACAAAAGGAGCAGAGGATCTTCCTTATGCCCACTTGATATTTCAATTTTCTTTTGTTTGTATTTTGTTATTTGTATTAATCCTTTCTCACCCATAAAAAAGAACCGCTTTTGATTGTAAGATTGAAAAGAAAGGGAAAATTTGTAACTTTAATGGCAGGATGGTCAATTTTAACAAATGGGTCTGCTTTAGATTCTGTAGGACTTGTAAATAAGTGTCAAAGTAATGGTTGTCACCTAGATGTTGGTCCTGTAGCAGGGGATAGTGTTGAAAAGTTTGGGGATTACAAGGATAGACTAAGATGCTTGTTTGATCTGGTTCTTTCTGGTTATCTGAAAGAGGTTGCTGGTAAGGGTTTTGTTAGGCCTATTCCAGCAATGCTTGGAAATGATGGGCAATCACCAGATTTGCTCAAGCTTTTCCTTGTAGTTAGGGAGATTGGAGGGTATGAGTTCGTGTCGAAAAAAGGGTTATGGGCTTCTGTAGTGAAAGAATTAGGGTTGGATCTTGACGTTTCAGCTTCAGTTAAATTGATATATGCCAAGTATCTGCATGAGCTGGAAAAATGGTTGAGGAATGGTTTTGGAGATAGACATGGGGAGGGTAAATGTGGTGGAAATTTTGGGTTCTTGTCATTGGAGCAAGAGGAAGAATTTAGAGGTTTGTTTACAAATGGGGTTGATCAAAAAGTGGTGGTAAACAGAGTGGCTCTATCGGAATATATAAAACATGACAAGTTCATTGGTAAGGATACTCATAATGGATTGAAAATTTCAGATGCCAACGATAGGTGTAGATTGCACAATGGTGTCGAGAAACTGTTTGGTGATGATGACGAAAAATTATGTAGAAATGATCTCTTAGTGCTGGATTCACCGGTTGCTAGGAAAGAATATAGCACTCGGAAGAGAAAAAGAAAATCTTTATTAGGTATGCTGAATTGGGTAATCCAGGTTGCAAAATGCCCTGATGATCCTTCAGTTGGGGCAATATTGGACCCATCTAAGTGGAAAGACCATGGAGGCAATGAATTCTGGATACAAGCCATCAGGGCACGTGAAGCTTTAAGGCAGAAAAGGGATGATCATTCAAACATTGAAAAGGCTTTCTTTCAGGTAAAATTAATATCGTCAGTTAATTCAAGTTGTGGAATAAAATAATATTAATTGACTATGTAGTTGAAAGATTTTGAAATTTCATGTTCGCAAGTTTTAAATTTTCATTATAAAATTTTGCTAGAGCATCATTAGACCAACTTGGATGGTATAAACCTTACTTAGCTGTTTGAAACATTAATCAGTGCTTTAGAAAGGAGTTTTTGAGATCAGAATCTGCAAAGTAAATGAATTCTCAATATATGAAAACTTAAGTTATCCTGGAAGAAGTTTGTAATGTGGATTTTATGCTCTCATACTAGTTTGCATGTGGAATTCGGTTAGTTGTCAATATTAAAGACATATTGTTGTGTAATTGGCAGAATAATCAAAAGATGCATCCATCCATGTATGAGGATGACTTTCTTAGTCACCCTTTTACACATAGGTTAAGATGCAATGAGAGACTTCCTACATCGAAATCTTGTTCGTGCTCTTGTTGCTGTGCTGGTTCAGCCTTAGAGAACAACTTGATGTGTCTCCACAAGGCACAATCTGAATATGGTCCTAATGAGCAATCCCTTGTAGCTGTTGGCTTATCCTCCTTAGATATGAGTACAACTGCAGGGCCATCTGGGGATGATTCTTTTAGAAGACAAGTGTCTGTGGGTCCCCTTTATCAAGCTGAAGTCCCTGAATGGACTGGTATGGTTTCTGATACTGACTCTAAATGGCTAGGCACACGGGAATGGCCCTTAAAAGGTAGAGAACATGATTCCTTAGCTGTAACAGATCCAATTGGTAGGGGAAGACCATATTCATGTGGCTGTCAGATTCCAGGCTCTGTTGAATGTATTAGACTTCACACTGCTGAGAAGAGGATGAAATTAAAGCTTGAACTAGGTTCAGTGTTCTACCGTTGGAGATTTGATGGGATGGGTGAGGAAGTCTCACTTCGCTGGACGGCTGAAGAAGAAAAGAGATTCAAGTATATGGTACAATTAGAACCACCATCTTTAAATGAATTCTGGCCTAATGCATTCAAGTTTTTTCCCTGGAAGACTAGGCGAGACTTGGTAAGCTATTACTTCAATGTCTTTCTTATCAGGCGTAGAAGTTATCAGAACCGTGTCACTCCTAAAAGCATTGATAGTGATGATGATGAATCTGAGTTTGGATGCATAAGTGACAGTTTCGGAAGCGATGCCCTTAAGATTCCTGGCTCAAATATGTTGACATGTTCTCAAAATAATCAGTGCATTGACTGGGAATCAGATGAATACTGATGAAGACTTATCATGTTGATTAGATCTGGCGCCACTGTTTGAACCAATAGTTGAACCTTCTCTTTTTTTCTGTTTCTTTGCAACTTACCATACAGCATCACTCAGTTACCTCAAAATCTCCATGGGATAGGTTAATGACACTGATGATACAGTTTTCAAATGTGCCTGGGTGGAATTTGGACCTTGCTTGGTTCCTTGGCTCTGGTAAAAGAAAATGTGCTAGTGTACAATACCTGTTTTAGGATAGCTTTATACTTTGCTTTTGCATCTGTGAATACTGTTATATTCTTAAGTAACAACTTTGGACAGAGGAAGATGGAAGTGGGAGACAAAAGATGCAGCTTCCGCTTCTTCAATTCTAAGTTTTAACTTTCATTTTTCTCTTAAATGATTTATACATTTGCCCTAATGAATTCATTCATTTGTATGTCAAGGTTGTGTTTGGGTGGTTCTCTTTTCTCACCAATGCTGCCATCTTTTTATGTTTAATTTGCCTGCAGGTTTGATAGAAAGTCACCATAAACAGATTCTTCTCCCGAATTTTCTTGTAGACTAATGTCTAAAAGCCAACTTCTGATGACTTTTATACAACTTTTAGCACATTTCACTCAGATATTTTTCATTGATTCAATCTTTATTATTGATCATTATAAAGAATTTTTGTTTTTACTGAAAAGCATACCTGTTGATGGCTTGTCATATGGAAGTTCATTTGTGTATCATCAGATAAAAACTTCTGTTGCAGAAGTGAGAAGCCTTATTCCGTTCCCACTATGAATATTATGATATATATATATATATATATATATATATATATATATATTGGTTTTTTCTACTACTCTTTTTATCATGATTGAATCTTACAAGGATAAAAGTGCATTTTGTTAAAGTGGTATTATCTCATATCTAATAAATATCTAATTTTTTATAATCTTATATTTAGGTTGAGTTTTTATACTTACTGTCAATTGATTTTAGGTTGGATGCTTAACATGATACCAAAGTTATAATTTTTTTTTATTGCCTTTTCTAAGTCTATCATGTGATAAATTTTTTTTATTTTTACTTACACATGATGGATGCCTGTTGAAGTGGTGTTATTGCACATCTAATAAATATATTTCTAAGTCTGTCATGTGATAGATTTTTTTTATAATCTTATATTTAGGTTGAGTTTTATACTTACTGTCAATTGGTTTTAGGTTGGATACTTAACATGATATCAGAGTTAAAATTTTTTTCTATTACTTTTTCTAAGTCTGTCATTTGATAGATTTTTTTTATTTTTGCCTACAATGATGGATGTCTGTTGAAGTAGTGTTATTACACATCTAATAAATATATAATTTTTTATAGTCTTATATTCAAAATGAGAGTCTATTAAAATGGTGTTATTTCACATTTAATAAATATCTAATTTCTGTAGTCTTATATTCAAGTTTTTTTCATATCTTTCTACACGTGATGTGAATCTATTAAAATGGTATTATCTCATATTTAATTGATATATAATTTTCTGTAATCTTGTATTCAAAATAGAGGCATGTTATTTGTTTTAAGTGAGATACTTAATATAATATCAAAGTCAGAGTTAGGTTTCATGGTGTCAGAGTTAGTTATGCTTTCCAAATCTGATACATTATAGGTTTCTTCTATCTTCGTTTAAACGTGATGGGAGCATATTAAAATGGTATGATTTCACATCTATTAAATATTTAATTTTGAACATGAATATAACGTTATAGGAAATTAATTTTTGAATATAATAAATATATAATTTTTAATTGGTTTTAGGTTCGATACTTAACACATTTGTCTCATACTTCAAGCATGGATATCATATTATCTTTCATTTTTCATCCTATATAAAGGTATTCATTTGATCAGTTTAGTTAATTTTGAATTAAATTATCTAAGATTGAATTATATTATATTTTTTCATTAACTAAACAGAATTTCTTAACTTCAAAAATTAATTGATCAAAATTAATTTAGTTGGTTCGATTAATTTTTTTGGCTAATCGAATAATAAAATACATTAAGTTGAATTATATTTTAAATTTTTATTTTCTCATATATGAAATAAATTAAGTAAAATCATCTAACAAAAATATTTAAATATCAAAGTATTAAGTTGAAAACTCTAATAACATTAAATAAAATCAAAATTGTTTTAAAAATTATTTTTGATAATTAATCAAAATTAATTCAGTGATCAATCAATTAAAATTGAATTTATTCCGTCAATTAATTTGATTAAAATCGAATTATAAATACTCTTAATCTCTTGTCACACTTTTTTAAGCATTAATACATAATTTAATTTTTTATTTATACAATTTTTAACGCATTAGTATTTATTAAAAAAATCATGATTAAATATTTAAATTTATTTTTATTAAATATTTTGTTTTATTAACAAATACTAGTAGTCAAAATATTAATGTGACAAACACTACCAATATAAATGTGTCACGTAATTTTTTTTTTGTCACACCAATTTACCATTAGTAGAATTAATGTGTGGGATGAAATGAGATAAAATATTTGATGAAAGTAAAGTTTAGATATTTAATTCTGCATAATTACATGTTTGAATGTTTTATACATAGTTAAAAATAATTGTTAACAAATCTATATTATTTTTTATGTGAAAAAAATACCGTTAATATTAAAATGAAAATAATAGTAACATATACAAAAATTAAAAATAATTTTTTATAGACAAACATATATAATTAAGAACTTAAGATAGAGAGAAAAAAAATAGTTTCACGTTAAGTTTAAAAGTTTAGAGGATATATTAAAATTGCGAAGAGATCAACTTGCACTTGTGTAAAACTCAAAAGTTTTACAATTTTTTTAATAATGGATTTTAATAGATTTGAAGGATGAAAGAGTCAAGTGAAAAAGAAAAAAATGGATCAACCTAATTTCTTGAATTTATTAAAATAAAAAACTAAAAAAATATATAAAATTTTTTTATGTAAGTTGATCACTTCTCAAAAAAAATTTTAAAAAACTTTGAAGAAAAAATAGAAATTAAAACAAACAAATCAAAATAAGCTCAATTTACAGCGTTTTTGTTTCTTTTTCTTCGAAAGGCTTTTGTTGTCTAAAACTTTATTTTATTTCTTTCTAATTTCCACTGTTATGTATCCGTCTCTCTAATTGATCTATCTTTTTCATATATTAATTCCACCCATCTCAACTCAAGAATAGTTAAATCAATTACTAATGAATCAAATTTTGTCGGTAATTTTGTTGAAATCTACCAACGAAATTATTTTTGTCGGCAAAAATTGACATCATTTACTTTTAGTGCTCTATTTTTTACGAAAATTTTGATTAATTTTGTGGAAATGAGAGTATTACTATCAAAATTTTTGACAAAATTTTGTCAGTATTTTCTCGTGAAAAAAAATTAAAATTTTTATGAGTATCTAACAATACCAATAGAATTTTTTTTTCCAAAAATTACATTAATGAATTTTTTTTATGGAAACTAATCAAATTATTATTTATTTTCATATATTTTTTAATATCAATTAAAAAATTATTAAAAAAACTCATAATATTTACCAACTTCTCTTCATAAATTAATAAAACCTTAATCCCTTCTTTCTCATTTCTCATTTCTCATTTCTCATTTCTCTCCCCGACGCCTTCTCTCCAAGCTATCTAACTAGGGACGGCGATCTAACCCATCTCCGACGGGTTTTAACTCGACCCAACCTTATGGGATCATTTTTTTTTTTTAATTCAAGTTTTGAGTAGGGTAAAATTAAAAAACAATCGTGGTCGGGCCAGGTTCGAATTTACCTAAAATCCAATCCGATATTATATAAAAAATTATTTTTTTTATTAATTATTTAATTTATATATATTTATATATTGATATTTTTAAATATTTATATTTAAAAAATAATATTTTATTAATTTCAAGTCAAATCGAATCAGGTACGGTTTACATAGTATCAGGGTCAGGTTGGGTTTGAGTATAAAAAAAATAAAAAAAATTTTAAGTAAGATCGAGTTCGAATTTAATAAAACATAAAATCAAATCGAGCTCAAAACAAGTAAAATCCGTCTCGAACCTGATCCGATGATAACCCTACGTCTGACGGCGCCCCTAACCCTACTTACTATCACCTCCACGCCTGCACCACTCTCAACTTAGTTTGAAAGGCCTACAACTTTCCATGTCCAGAGAGCAACATTGAAATAAGCACTTTGATGATTTCCCAAATTGTCACTGTAATTGCTTTGTCCTTATATTCCTTTTTACATTAGATTATTCATTTTACTAGTGGGTTTTATTTGTCTCCTTGCATCGCTTTAATATTTTACAACTTAGTTTGAAACATTCAAATCTTAAAAGCAATGTTCCATTACAAAAGATGTCAGGTTTATATTGTTAGACAATTTACAATGCTTGTGGACATAAAATTCTATCTTACTAAGACTCTTGCTTTTGGCTTCCAGGTTACTCTTTTTTACAAGTAATTCTCCTATTATCCAAAAGATCTCATCAACCTTAGTCCGAGTTTTATATTCATTCTTTCAAGTTCCTTGTACTATGGAATATTATTGTTTCCTTGCTGTAGAGCGAGATTACGTTCAGAATTCTTTTATTTTACTACTTTAGGAACTTTAATTATTATAATATATTTTAGTATAAATGTATTGTAAATGACAATAATATATATTTTAATATGTTAATATTAATTTTCTTTTAAATGAATTCGGTTTTTTTTTTTAGATTGAATGTTGATTTCTATTAATAATAAATATTTAAACTATCGATTCTTTGATAATTTATCATTTTTGTAGGAAGGTTATTTGAAACAACAATATTGATTACTAAAAACAATTAGAAACGATAAATTATAGTTTGTAAGAACTTTTGACAATGATTATTGTAATTATTAAAGTAATTATTGCAATAACAAATAATCGTTGTCAAAGACGATTTGTAATAAAAAAAATATTGCATTTTGTAAGAAACTTTGGCAATGATTATTGTAATTATTAAGGTAATTATTACAATAACAAATAATTGTTGTCAAAAACGATTTGTAATAAAAAATATTGTATTGCAAAAATAATTAAGCAATCAGTATAATATTATCATGTAAAAATTTTAGTAACAAATATGTAATTTCTGAAAGAAAGCTTGGACAACTATATTGAGTCGCTTTTTAAATATAATTTATTTACTAACAACAAAAAATCGTTATAATAAATATTTTTTAAATTAGCTTTTAATAAGATAAAAATTATTACGTATACATTTAACAACGGAACTTTTTTTCTCGTTGCCAAAAAGTTTTTACAATAATAAATCATTATTTTGCAATGACATTAAGCATTACTAAAATAATATTTTAGTGAGTTAAATCACACGTTAAATTTTTTTTTTAATTTGATCGGAAAGTGAAGTTGAGAAACGTGGGGTAGGTGGCGTAATTATGTAAGAACAAAAGGAAAGTCGATTACGGAACTTGAATGATTAATTGGTTGGTTTCAACCACAAATGTGCGGAGTGAATGAAACAAAAAGGAAAAGAAAAAGAAAGAAAGAAGTAAATATAATTAAAAGGGGGAGGGGTTGTAGCTGGCAATGGTAGGCAGTCGGTAGCTTTCGGTGTTTCCAGCTTCGAACAAATAACAAGAAGATAGCGTGCGGGGGGGGATGAATCTGACGATGCTCACTCAAGCATCAGGGGGGGATGAATCTGACGATGCTCACTCAAGCATCAAATCTCTTATTTAATATTCGGCAATGAAATACTAAAAATAATTGTGTGGCGGCAAAACAGCAACCAACGGATAAAAAAGAATTTTTAAGTACAACAAATATGGAATCTTGGTGCTCCAATCGATAACCTTTTTTTTTTTTTTTTATCATCTTATTTTCTTATTTTATTTTAATTTTATTCAATAATTTGCAAAGCAAATTAATACTACTATTACTATTAGTACGTTTCTTCTACTAAATCTTTGTTATTTTTTATTATGTAATATTTTGATTAAGAGTATAAATTACTCAAGTTGATATTTAAGTTCGATATGAATATTTAAAATTTAAATTTGATTAAATTTTATATTTTAATATAAGATAAAAATTTTATATTTAAACAATTTGAATTCAATTTAAAAACGAATAATAAAATTTTTAAATTTGATTCTTTTGTTATTTATGTTTTATGAATTCGAGCTCGATAATGAATAAATTAAGTTTAAATATTCACAAAATAAAATTCATATAACTAATAAGTAATTTAATTTATTTACATCTTTAATTTTGATTTATAGCATATGATTTTTTTAATATATTGTCTTTATTAAATTGAAGGGAACCATGATAATAATAAATAAAAAGTATATCATTGTATTTTAAAAACACATCCTCATAAAAAATATTATTTTTAGTTTATTATTAAATATTTGAATTTAAAATTTAATTAGATATTTCATATAATCATTTTTAAAAAATAATGTTCAATAAATTTTAAATTTAAATTTTAATATCTATAATTTTTTATTTATTCTTAGGTTGCATCAACTTTTATATAAATAAATGTATGCTGGATAGATTTTGAGGGGTTAAGAATTTAAGAAGATTTAAACATATAATATTTTTCTTGAATGAGTTAAGTAGATAGATTTTTAGAGGTTGTCGGCGAGTTAAATAGATTAAACTTTGGAAGTTTAGGGTAAATTTAAAATTAAAAAAAAATGATGATGATGCCATTTGAGATTAGTTTCCATTATTATAAGTGAATTTTAAAAGTATCAATTATTGGTCCAATTATCATACCAAACAAATAAAAGTAACGAAAATACCGACAATTCATGTAGGTGGTAGCCTACGGATGAGGTTAAAAAATTTTAAAGGTGCAAATGTGAATACACTAAGCTAGTTTCAATTCAAGTCCACATCCCAGTTTACTTCACGCTTTGGCAACAATACCGTGTTATGTGTCAGGGAAGGAAAGCAATAATGGGGATTTCCCTTTTTTTTTTTTTCCCTAATAAAATGGTTTTCAAAAAATAATTTTTTTGACTAAAATTATAAAAATTTTATGAATTTTATCACTTTAATTAGATAATTTTTTATATTTTTATTGTATTCAAATAAATTTTTAATCTTTAATTTATAGATAAATAAGTTATTAAATTATAATTTATATCCAAACAAAAATATAATGTTTTATTTATATCTAAATCAATCTCTTACATTAATTTTATTTAAAATAAAAATGTATTTTGACATAAATAAAAAATAAAAAATTATTTAATATAATAAAAATATAATGATTTATTTAAAAGAAATAGAATAATTCAAAAGTTTTTTTAATATTTTATTTTTTCCGTCTAGAATGAATTTGTCAAAGATTTGCATTAAAGGCAATTTGATTTTGTGGAGGAAAATTTGAATCCAATGAGGAAGTAAAAAAACAAAATAAATAACATAACGTAACATCATATTTCTTCCATTACATCAAGAATTCAGGAAGCCACTGCTTTTGCCCAATCTTTTCGATTGTTATTTTCAGAAAAAAATATCATTAAAAATTTGATTCACGGATTAATGTTCATTCTATCTCCATAGGAATAATTTTGAAATCGAAATATCATGTCTTTGAGTGCGTATAATTCTAAAAGTTTAAAATCATCAGATCATAACTCTTATAATAATAACAACTAACTAATGTTATATAGATTAGATTTTTTTTTATATTTTATATTTAAAGCAATTAAGAATTAAATTTTAATCAATAAAATAAAAGATCTAATATTTTACCTACTAATCATATAATTGTTGGCCGGCTGATTTTTTTTTTTTAAATTTATTATGTCAAATAAAAACTTCTCATTTATCTTGTTCTTAATTATGCCTATTAGATTAAATGTAAATCACTTTCCTATATTTAGATATTGAAAAATCAAATTACAAAAAATAAAAAATAAAAAATACTAACATACCATTAGAAATCAAAATCGATAAAAATGGGGTAAAGGTTACAAATCTAAGTTTATTGTCTTTCAGCAATAAAAATGAGAAAGTTACTGCAGTTAAAATTAGAATTACGGCCGTGACTACACATGTATATAAACTCCTGGATTCACTCTTTGATGTCCGAACCACTTTTTGGGTTGCTTTTATTTGTGAAGAAATCTCACTTCTCTTCACTTTTTTTTTTTTTCCTTCCCTCGAGAATCCCAAAGAAAAATGAAAAAAATGTCTTCTCCAACCAAACGCCGAGAGATGGACTGGATGAAACTGTAATTGCTTTTTCTTCTTTTTTATTTTTTTCCCCGAATCGTAATATTTATCTTTATCCTTGGTTTTGTTTATTGGTTTTTTTTTTGGTCATTTGTTGGATTGATTTTTGCTAGGATGATGAGTGACTACAAGGTGGAGATGATCAATGATGGCTTGCAAGAATTTTATGTTGAATTCAATGGACCGAAAGACAGTAAAAATCATTTCTTTAACCTTTCTTTCTTTCTTCTTCTTCAATTCATTTCTATGATCTATCTCTTTACTTCTGCTGAAAAATTTAATTTTCTTTTATCTTTTCTTTCTGGGTTTTTCTTATTCTTCTCAAAAGTTGATTTTTTTTTTGCTTGGAAGTATGTTGACCATTTGGTGATTGCTATTGGTTTTCTCTTTTGATGATCTTGATATTTGAAGATTAATATCTATCTATATATTTGTACTTTTTGGCCAATTAATCTAAAGTGATATTTTAATTTATTTGTTCATACCTGAGCTGCCACTTTTCATTTATTTGTTTAGTTCATTGAATTTTCTGAATGAGGGTGGGTTTTGTTGATAGATTTTGCTTCTGGGTATTTTTAGTCTAGAGCCAAATAAGGATATATATATATATATATATATATATTTTTTTTTTCTCACAGATTATCTTATATGGTGTATGACAGGTCCTTATCATGGTGGTGTGTGGAAGATAAGGGTGGAGCTCCCAGATGCTTATCCTTATAAATCTCCTTCAATTGGCTTTGTAAACAAGATCTACCACCCAAATGTTGATGAAATGTAGGTTTGTGGATGTTAAAAAGTTCTAAATTTGGCTGTTTTAGCTTTGTCTTAGCGGTAGTATTAACTTGTGTGAGGTAATTTAGAATGAGTAAATGGTTTATTATCATTAATTAAAATATACTTGAACTATATATGAGTTTCAGGTCTGGCTCAGTTTGTTTGGATGTCATCAATCAGACTTGGAGTCCCATGTTTGGTAAACCTCTCACATTCTTTGTTTTCCTCATTCTTTTTTTTTTTTTTTTGTTTTAAAGTTGCTGTTATTCCACTTGGAACCTGACAATCAATTTAACTTCTTTTTTTTTTCCACCCTTATGTTCAATTTCAGATCTGGTAAATGTGTTTGAAGTGTTTCTTCCTCAACTTCTTTTGTATCCCAATCCATCAGATCCATTGAATGGGGAAGCTGCAGCCATTATGATGCGTGATCGTACAGCCTATGAACAAAGAGTGAAAGGTAGCGTTTCTGAATAACTTTTTATATTTTATTTGTCCATTTTTTTCTCTTAAGAATGCTCGGCTGAAAAGTTAAGGTATTTATTTGGATTTCTTGCTTCTCTAAAGCCAAATAAGTGAAGTCAGACAGCAGTAGGCTTACAAGAATTTTCTTGACCACCTGTGTTTTTGAAAGAAATTACATGAGGTCATAAATCTCAGATGTTGGGAGTACGAATTATTTTATAAGTGGCATGCAACTATTAACCCTGCTTAATTTGTACTCAGTTGATTAATGGTCTTAAACCTTAAGAATTGCTTCTGAAAGCAGTTGACGAGGTCTATTGCGATCTTGCCAACAGTTTTTCCACTACTTAAAGGGACCCGAAGCTTGTTATCTATTGTTATTGGCAGTCATTTGTTTGCAATTTCGCTACTCTTTGGCTTGGGATTAGAGAGTATGCTAGAGTTCAGAAGTTTGTGTGTTTGTAGTGGGAAAGGAGAGATTGCAGCTTTAAAAGTAGGCCATTTTCAGTCAAAATAATATTAATAGTAGCTGGCAATAGACCCACTTTACCTCTTTGTTGTGGCCATTCCATTTCACCTACTTTCTCCGTTCTTCTTTAATATAGATATAGATATTCTCAAATAGGTTAATGAATTCAGCTTACTAGTAACAAGTTGTGGCAAAGTGCTTTTATCATCATTGACAAGATGCTACAAGGTTTACTGGCATTGCAATTATTGTTCTTTCCAAAATGTGGTCTGCAATTTTACTTCTGCGGCATCATGCATTGCTTGTCTCTTTCCATGTCGTTTTAAGGATGCGATAATTGAAATGTTATGACTTTTTTCATTTCCCAGAATATTGTGAGAAATATGCCAAGCCAGAAGATGTCGGAGCAGCGCCTGAAGAGAAGTCCAGTGATGAAGAGCTAAGTGAAGATGACTATGCTGCCTCGGATGACGAGGAAATTGCTGGAAAAGCTGATCCTTAGGCACACAATATGCCTATTCCCTAGACAATTGTTGTGCTGTACATCATATTCAGGTCCAGGAAAATTTGAACTTGACAAAACTGGGGGCATATGGAAAACTTCCTTCTCCTTTGTGTCTTTATTTTCCATTGATGTTGTGTAAATTAATCTACTGTTGTTTAATATTTCAAGTATTCATCCATTGCTGAGACTGAAAAACAGTTTTCTCATGCTCCTGCTCCTCCTCCTCCTCATGTGCACGCATCAACTAGACTTTACAAGTGTGAGTGTCTTTGTCCACACAGGAGAATGCATTAACACCTTGATTGAGGTGATCTTTCAATATTCCTATCTTTCAAAAGCTGATCTGACTGCATAGAGACATTGTTACTTGAAGGGGAACTATTAAGAATTCAACTTTGTGATGGTTGGCCGCCAAGGGAATTCATATACCCCACGTCTTCTCCCTCTTTTCCAATGATGGCGAAAAACCATTGGCATGGCACTTGATTTGCTCTAGAAATTGTTGGTTAGTTAGGTCAATCTGATGTTTTGGTGAATAATTAGGCAGTTTGAGAATGGTTGGACTTTTGACACACTTTCCATGAGTATTTTGTGACACCAGGAAATGGTTGGACTTGGCGGTGATAAGAAACTATGACACTCAGATGATTTATAGTATTTAATACAATGTTTCCGTGAATAGGTGAAACCATCTGCAAATTCTGTGAAAATAATTATCCATTTTCAATCAAAGGTGGAAGAATTGGATTAAATGATTAGAGTTAGGTGTTATTATACATATAAAGTATATACTATTTTGATCATTGTGCAGCCCCTATAGCTCAGTGGTAGAGCGTCAGTCTTGTAAACTGAAGGTCCGTAGTTCGATCCTGCGTGGGGGCACATTAATTTTTTTCTTTTTTTTTGATTAGTCAGTGGATCTTATTATTCAGATCTGGTCACTTTTCTGACAACAGTGGGGTCAGTACAAAACCTGTACAAAAGCCTGAAAGTAGAGTAAGCAGCAGTAACATCACACACGACACTGTCCTTACTTACACTTCACCCAAATCAATCATTGCAGCCACCAACCTCTCTTTTCCCTTCTCTCTCCTCATTTTCCTATTTTCTCTCTTTCCTTCCTCTTTTTTTTTTTTTTATTGATAACCTATCATTCCGTCTATGATCAATTAATGAAATATTTTTGTGCATTTGTTGTCACAACTCGATTATAAATTATTTTTTATATTTTAATTTATATATTACATGAAATTGACAATTTATTTATCCGAGAAAAAATAACCATTTGAAATTTGCTTATTTAAATTTTTGCTATACTTTTTGCGGCTTCAGGGTTGGTTGGACCTCCTCAACAAACCCTAAAACTTGAAGTCCATCTCAAATTTGGGCCAAAATTTCAACCCCATTTAAGCTTAACCCAATTTCTGGCCCGTTTAAAAAGATCGTTTACCAAGAAAAAGCTCCGCCTTTTTTTTCTTATCATCAATCTTAAAAAACACAGACAATTCGACAGCGAAAGATCCGCTGAATACGCGAACGGCTAAATACTAAACAAGTCCACTGTTAACCAAATAAGATAATTACACGTATATTTTTAGAAAATTTTTTTTAACAATAAATATCTTGGTTGTGGGACAGTGGCTCTCCATTCTTTGGTTTTATCCGACATTTTTTCGCTTCCTGAAATCCTGATTTCCTCTTCATCTGGTCATCAAAATAGGTAAAATCACTTCAATTTATTTTCTTCAAGTTTTAATTTAATTCAATTTCCTAAGCATAAATTTCCCAGAAACCTGCCTTATTTTATTATTCGTTCACTTTCACATTTTTTTCTTGAATTTTCTTGTCCATGTTTTTGTTTTATCCATATATCCTTTTTATAAAAATCCTCCGCTGTCCTGTCTGACTCTGTTTCAGTCGTCTGTTTTTCTCTTGTGGGCTACATTTAATTTAGGGTTTTGGGCCTCTGGGTATCTATTATTTCAGTCAAAGAAGCTCTTTGGAGATTAAAGTGTAGTTTTGATTATTTTATCTTATAGTGAAAACGTGGAGTTTATAAAATAAAGGGGGGATTGTTGATTTTGAATGGCTCGGTTGATTCTTCCTTGCAAAAGCTCGTGTTTGGCAAGGACCAGTCTTTTGGGTTTGATCTCTTCTGCTCCTGTGATTATCCACTCTCGATTTCTCCTTTATGAATATCTCTTTGTTTGCTTCTATGGGTTTGAGTTATTTCCCATTGAAAGTCTTGGCTTTTAATTCATTATAACTGATTCCTTTGCATGATGCTCAAGTTCAAAGTGCATTTAGATTGTTATTTTTGGTGGGTGGCTTGTAGGAGATTGTATACATTGCACAGTTTCTTTACACGTTTGCTTTTGCATATGTAATTATGTATGCATATACCTACATGGATATACTGTTACTGATAGCTTGAAGGGTGGTTATGAACTGCTAATTATGGCAGGATCTATTGTTTTAAATATTTTTCTGTCTGACTGTTTGCTTATTTTGCACCTTCAGGTTAAAAGTAGTGTTAGTTCATTTCAAGGTTCACTGAAGAATATCTCTCGGTATAGGTGTTTTTCTGCTTTAGAGGTTTGTGCATTTTGTTAGTTCTTTATTATCAGAGTGTACTAGGGTCCCTAGTTTGTTCGGAATAATAATTTTTGGTCTTGTCATTATGCATTTCTAAATGAAAATTTTCTTTTTGTTGTTTGGTTTTAGGCTGTCTCTAGAAGGAATTACAGGTTTCCACATTCTTCACATTATGTAAGTTGCTATGTTTTGTATCTAAATTCTAACAGTTTTTGCTCTATTCCATTGACACATGCTTACATGCATGCATTTATATGAAGGTCTATAATTCGTATAGTATTTTCAAAATATTCATGGATGTTTCTATCATGGAATATGATGTGGTCTCTTATGGTTATATTTGTTATTTTTGTTGATTTGGCAACACTGTTTCAGAGGGCAAGGGAAGCCGGCAGAAGGCTGCTTTGTTCGGTTGCAGTAGAACCTTTACCTAAGCAAGTTGAAGAATCCAAAATGGATGCACCTAAAGAAATCTTTCTGAAGGACTACAAGTCCCCTGATTACTGCTTTGATACTGTATGTATGGCAATTAATTAAATTAGACTATGCATAAGCTGGGATTCTGAACCTTTTTATATGGCTTTGGCTTGTGCTTTCTTTTACTTATGAAAATAGCATTTTCAGGTGGACTTGAAATTTTCACTGGGTGAGGAGAAAACAATCGTTGCTTCAAAAATAACTGTGTTCCCCAGAGTGGAAGGTATTGTTTTCGTTATTCTTTGCTTCTAATACTCGAACTATCGTTAGTAGACAATTTCGTTGTTTTTGATACTTTTTAGCAAGAAGTATCGTTCACGGTTAAAGGGTAATTTACTTCTTGGCTCTGCATTCTTCTTTCATGAGAACCTAGTGCTCAAGTTTTATGTTGAAAAACTCTGGTTGTCATTATTCTTTTATTTTATACTAATGTATCTTCTAGAGCAGGTTCTTCTTCTCCATTGGTTCTGGATGGGGTTGATCTAAAGCTAATTTCAATCAAGATCAATGGCAAGGAACTGAAGGTATACCATATATCATACCTCTCTCAACGTAGGCTTGGTACCATAATTACTCAGTCGTTCTGAAGGTATAGTATTTTAATATGTTTATTTTTTCATTCTTAGGAGGGAGATTATTGCTTAGACTCACGCCATTTGACACTTCTATCACCACCAAGCGGCAAATTTTCTTTGGAAATCGATACTGAGATACAACCTCAGAAGAACACATCATTGGAGGTGAGACATTATTATTATTTTTGGTTCCAAAATGTACAGTATTATTTGCCCTAATAACCATGTTATAAATTTATTTTTCTCTTTAGGGGCTTTACAAGTCATCGGGGAATTTCTGTACACAATGTGAAGCAGAGGGTTTCCGGAAAATTACTTTTTATCAAGTTAGGATGTTGAAACAATATTGGCTTTTATTATTATTATTATTATTATTTTTCATTTTGATGCATGAATCTGTTTTATACCTCCTTGACATGTTTACTTTGCTAACAGGACCGTCCTGATATAATGGCAAAATACACATGCCGTATTGAAGCTGATAAGTCATTGTATCCAGTATTGTTATCTAATGGAAATCTCATAGAGCAGGGAATCCTTGAGGTAAGCTTCACTTATTATGGTTGTCTCTTTTTGGTTAATGTTGACTGTTGTTCATTGTTTTTTTCCTGGATCCATTGCAGGGTGGTAAGCATTATGCTGTATGGGACGATCCCTTTAAGAAGCCATGTTACTTGTTTGCCTTAGTAGCTGGCCAGTTGGAGAGCAGAGATGATATATTTGTTACCCGCACTGGCCGACAAGTGGCCCTAAGGATCTGGACCCCAGCACAAGATGTACCCAAGACTGCACATGCCATGTATTCACTTAAAGCAGCTATGAAGTGGGATGAAGATGTCAGTCTTTATATCCTTAGATGTTTTTATTGTGGTATTGAGATTATTTTATTTCTTTATTAAAAATCTTTTTTTTTTGGGGTAGGTTTTTGGTCTTGAGTATGATCTGGATCTCTTCAATATTGTCGCTGTTCCTGATTTTAACATGTAAGATGGTTAAAGGAAACCGAACATTTAATCTACATGTGCTATCTTTTACTTCTTACCTGGTTATTATGCAGTATTTATATCTGTTAATACCAATGTACTTTGTTCTTTTTTTTTTTTGGATGTAGGGGAGCCATGGAAAACAAGAGTCTGAATGTATGTCCTCTGACTTATCTGGTCATCTATATCAAATATTTTTACTGTTTCATCTTGTTGAATATGTTTCTGTTGCACGTCTTAGATTTTCAATTCAAAGCTTGTTTTGGCTTCTCCGGAAACTGCTTCAGATGCTGATTATGCTGCAATTTTGGGTGTTATTGGTCACGAGGTTTGTTGTGGATATCAATTGAAAATGCCTTTTCTCACATTTGTTAGACTTATTGATGGATCTGATATGTTATGCCTTGATTTTATTTCTTGCTTTCATGCAGTATTTTCACAACTGGACTGGCAACAGGTTGGTTTATTTCCCATTTAGGCATATTGTTTGTTTAAAAATTACATCCTTTTCTATTTTTCCTTACTGTATTGTTATTTGTTTTTTGAGATCTGATCTGCCATAAATGTGTTTGTTGTTATTAGTGTGATGTTTAGATCTATGTTGTATGTTTAATAATTTCATGAAGGTCATGAAATTATGTGTTGCTCTGAAGACATGTTTATCAATTTAAATCTATTTAAAACTACAAGGATAAACAAACTTCAATATAATATTAGCTGAAACACTGCAGAGTGACATGCCGGGACTGGTTTCAGCTAAGCTTGAAGGAGGGTCTTACTGTTTTCCGTGATCAGGTATGACTCGTCAGTTATCAAGAGTGTAAATGAAGCCTTGTTGCGACATAACTGTGTTTATGGTCAAGTAATCTTGGGTTGTTGGCAGGAATTTTCATCTGACATGGGAAGCCGTACGGTGAAGAGGATTGCTGATGTTTCAAAGCTTCGAACTTATCAATTTCCACAGGTTTTTTATGTTTCTTGCATTACTTGATAGTGACCTTATGTGCGGTTATATGAGCAAGTATTATTGCAACTATTCTAAAATCTACAAATATATCCTTCAGTGTGTGACATACTTGAGGGCTCACTTGCCTCTGTTTCCCTTTGTTCAGGATGCTGGTCCCATGGCTCATCCTGTTAGGCCGCATTCTTACATTAAGGTCTTAAAGTATCTCCCTTTTTAGTGGCATTTTCTTTGAGTTTTCACTTGCGCTTCTAAGCTGTGTTAACTATTTCCCATTTTTCCCTTTGACAGATGGACAACTTCTACACAGGCAAGTTTTTGTCATGTTTAATAGAAATGTGTAATGAGTGCATGGATCAGTTTCCTCTTATTATATTTAATTTGATATCCCTTTTTAATGTGTGATTGTTTGGTTTTGTTGCATGATCTTGTTATATATGAATGGAAATGGGGTTATAAACAACTGCAGTGACGGTAAGGACTAGCCACTTGCATTTGCGTCTTTATCTGTTTGATTTTCTGTTTTTCAATAACAAGGCGTCTAATTTTCCTCTTGTTTTACTTGGTCTTCTTTGTTTTCTTTCTCATAGGTTTATGAAAAGGTTTGAATATCTTAACCAGAATCTCTCTTGTTTATGTGTGTTTGTGGGCAAGAGCTATATTGACGCGTTAATGAATTTTCCTTATGATTCAACTTGCCAGGGAGCTGAAGTTGTCAGGATGTACAAAACACTCCTAGGGACTCAAGGGTTCCGAAAGGTAAAAGGTTTAAGCACGTTTATGAGTCTGAACTTATGTCTATGTATGGGAAGTTGCTTATGTTGGATAGATTTGTTAATATGATTTGTTGATGTTTCAGGGCATGGATCTTTACTTTAAAAGACATGACGGGCAAGCAGTAACTTGTGAAAACTTTTTTGCTGCCATGCGAGATGCAAATGATGCAGATCTTGCTAACTTCTTGCTTTGGTATGGATCAGTATCTTATTTTTTGAATTACTATGTCTATCTGGTAATTTTGATTCATATGCTTTTGAAACTCTCAGGTATTCACAAGCTGGGACTCCGGTAGTAAAAGTTACTTCATCCTACAAAGCCGATGCTCATACTTTTTCTTTAAAGTTTAGGTATACAAGCTGTAAATTTTGTTCCAAGAATGATCAGCGATTTTCTCCTAAAGATTTTGTAGCTGACTTTTATGCCTGATTTGGGATTTTCAGTCAAGAGGCACCCCCAACTCCTGGGCAGCCTGTTAAAGAACCCATGTACATTCCTGTGGCTGTTGGTCTGCTGGACTCAAGTGGAAAGGACATGCCTCTGTCCTCTTTGTATCACGATGGTACACTGCAGTCTGTTGCAAGCAACAATCAGCCAGTCTTCAGTACTGTTCTTCGAGTAACTAAGGTCAGTTGAGCATCTTCCTGTGCTCCATCTTCTTATTTCTAAGATACTTCCATCATGGAGGAGAAAAAAGCAATGAACTTGCACTCTTCTTGAGGATGTCTACAGACCTTTCGGAAAGTGAAAGACCATGACAATGGGGGCAAACTGTTCCCAAGCTGCCATATTTACATATAGGCAGATAGCATGTCTGTTGCATATCTTTATGTTTTATGAATTTCATTTATGCTTCTTGGTGCTGGGCAGAAAGAAGAAGAGTTCGTGTTTTCTGATATATTTGAGCGACCAATTCCATCACTATTGCGAGGTTATAGTGCTCCTATCCGTCTTGAATCTGATCTCTCTGACAGTGATCTATTTTTCCTCCTTGCACATGATTCGGATGAGTTCAATCGGTTGGTCATTCTTGAAGCATGAATATTTTAATTTAATTTAATTATTGAGGAATATATGAGAATTTGTTAACTTGATGGTTTTCTGTTTTAGTTGGGAGGCTGGGCAGTTGTTGGCAAGGAAGCTCATGCTCAGTTTAGTTACTGATTTCCAACAAAACAAACCATTGGCCTTGAACCCCAAATTTGTGCAAGGTCTCAGAAGCATACTCAGTGATACAAGCTTGGATAAGGTATGATGAAATTTCTCTTCCTGGAAAATATGAGATCCTTAATGTTTAAAATTTCCTTCTGTGTTTGAATGGAGAGTGTGTGTTGTGCGATATATAGAAATCAATGCACGATTCATTTTTAACTGCCCTTTGTTATCCAGGAATTTATTGCAAAAGCAATAACTCTCCCTGGTGAAGGAGAGATTATGGATATGATGGAAGTTGCTGATCCTGATGCTGTTCATGCTGTTCGAACCTTCATTAGAAAAGAGCTTGCCTTACAATTGAAATCAGAGTTTCTAAGCACTGTATGCCATATTAAGTTGACTTATATAAACGCATCTTTATTACTTTTAGACCAGTGCATCTTTTGCAAATGAACTTGATTTTCCTTTTTCCCTCTTGGCACTATAACAGGTTCAGAACAATAGAAGCTCAGAAGAGTATGTATTTAACCATCCTAATATGGGCCGACGTGCACTTAAGAATATTGCTCTTGGTTTGTATTGCATGACTTGTATATTTGCAAGATGTGTGGCAAAATTTACTGTCATCTGATTGCCTTACATTTGTATAATTCCAGCATATCTTGCATCCCTTGAAGATCCAGAGATAATGGAGCTTGCACTGCATGAGTATAATACCGCTACAAATATGACAGAACAGTTTGCTGCTTTGGCAGCCATTGCCCAGAAGCCTGGTAAAACTCGTGATGATGTTTTGGTCGATTTCTATAGCAAGTGGCAGCATGATTTCCTGGTAAATTTCCAACTCAACTTCCCTTTTCCTACCTGAATGTATTTTGAACTCCTTATCTTGGATAGTCTCATTTTTTCTTCTTTTTTAGGTTGTAAACAAATGGTTTGCCCTTCAAGCCATGTCTGACATTCCTGGTAATGTTGCGAATGTTCGGAACCTCTTAAATCATCCAGCGTTTGACCTGCGCAATCCAAACAAGGTGATCTCTCTCTCTCTCTCTCTCTCACATGTATGTGTGTGGGTGTGGGCATAAACATAGTGGTGCCAATTATCTTCAGCTTAAATTTGAGCGTTGCAGTGACTGTGGGTTGTTTTTTTAATGTAGGTATACTCACTCATTGGAGGATTTTGCGGATCTCCTGTGAATTTCCATGCCAAGGACGGTTCCGGCTACAAGTTCTTGGGTGAAATAGTATTACAACTTGACAAGCTAAATCCTCAGGTTTGTTAATAATCCCATTCTGTCTTCCTTTGTTCTTTTGCATGAAACACGAAAGGCCAATTTCCTTTGTCAGGTTACTTTTCATCTGGTCATTTGCTGTTCTTCAGTAACTATTTTTCTCCTTATATGTTGTAGGTGGCCTCCCGCATGGTGTCAGCCTTCTCAAGATGGAGGCGTTTTGATGAAAGCAGGCAAAAACTTGCCAAGGTAAATGATATGCTGGTAGCTGTTATGTCTATGTAATTGCCTTGGTTAAAGTTAAATGTAGAATGTTTTATTCATGTATATCCAGAAATGGCTTAAAAGTGTCTGATGCCTCTATCATATCTACCATTGTGAATATTGTTTTGGTGTCGGCATTTATCATTTACATGGGATGTTTTGATCGAAAAACTTAGTGGACAAATTACAAATTGATTCATTTCCTTGTGCTATACAGCAGGATTATAATACTAAAAAGTTGCATAACATTTTACAGGCACAACTGGAGATGATCATGTCTGCCAACGGGTTATCAGAGAACGTATTTGAGATTGCCTCAAAGAGCTTAGCTGCTTAAATGTGTCAATTGACTTTTGCTGCTGTCCCATGTGTCATAGACACAAATAAAATAGCTTTCAATGGATTTTAATTATGATATCACCGAATGGAGTTTTTTCTGTTATTCAGTGATTGGAGTTGGAAATTGGATTTATTATGTCTTACTCGGATGAGCTTGGGTTTGAATATTTCTGTCCAAGCTGCGAAATTGTTTCTCTTAAGTTATATTTCATATTTGACTGTATAACTCAATTGTCACCTTGTTAGTGTTAATATGACAAGCAACTGGTTCAACTTGGGATCAGATCTGACGAAGAAATTCAGCAAGTGGATCTACATCTAATATTAATAACTGTTGTTGTAAAGTTGTAATCTGAAATTGACTTAATGGTGAAACTCTGTTTGCGGCAAGTAATTTCTACAGTAACTGTGGGTCAAGTTTAGAAGCTTATTTCACCTGACACTGAGGCCTCATCGGAGCACAAGGAAATGTCTTCCACAGCAGTCAACAATCATGTGTAAACCCATGCTCAATCCAAAATCCCCGTTCACTTCTCTCGTGTATTTTATTACAAGACACAACCTAAGTTACAACCTCGGAGGAGATAAGCACGAATCCTAACAACTGCCTCTTATAAAATATAAAAGCACATCCATCCACCAAAGCAGCAATTAGGTGGACAACCATAAACTCAAATTACTCACCTATAAATGCCATATTTTGATGTCTTGTATGTTTGTATGTGAAAGCCTGTGAAAGGCCTAAGCCCTAATAAGAATGGCATCTACAGTGAAACACATGAAAGCACAAGCCATAGAACGATGTTGAGACTATTGCTGATGGCCTATAAAATCGTAGGGGTCAACGCACTAATCCAGATTTAAAGATTTGCAATACTACCCCTAATTGGGTCCCACTTAGTTCACCTAAAACTTTTCTTTTCAACCCATCCATCCCAACAATAGCCATCGCCTCTTTTACGCATATGCTAAATCACACGTGTCGAGCAAAAGCTAATGCATGAAGGGTTCAAACTTCAAATTTCACTTTCTCTTTTTTTTTTTTCCTTATTCACCAATTCTCTTCACTTTCCCAAGTCTTTTCTCTTTGCCTAAGTTAGGTCTCGTGTCTTATCTTCATCAACATCATCATCATCTCTTTAGCTTTGATATATACATTTTGTCTACTACTCTATTAGTAGTTAATATACTTTAAAATTTTCAACTTTTTTATTGTTATTTTTAGGAATTTTTTATTCGAGATGTTGAAAAATGATCTTTTGATAATTATTTTATATGAAAAAATTTTATTCTAAGAATTAGATATCATATTGTATAATAATATTTAATAATATCACATTCCAAACTTTGATCGAATAAATATTATTTTAAACTTAAAGTTTAAATCAAATAGTTTTTCAACTTCATTTAAGAGATGGATTTCAATAAAATTCGTAAATTCTTCTTCTTCTCAAATTATTAGTGAAAGATTAGTTGAGAATGTGATCATATTAGTATGTATACGTAACATTTTGAATATGGTCAGAGAGAAAACCAAAGAAAAAAATGGGAGAAATTTGAATATGGCCCATTCAATCTCACCCATCAAGGGGTTGAAAAAAAAAAAACACAATGGTGTAGAAGATTCTTCTTTAAGATTATTGAGAATTCTCTAATAAAAATATCTTAAACCAAGCTTTGACAATCAAGTTTCTTGCTTATCTACAGGATGCAGTGACCCTTTTTTTCTCTTTTCAAAATGCTCTTCAAATCTGTCCACCATCCAATACCATGAAAGAGAAAAGAGAATATGATTGTGCTTGAGACAGTAAAAGATTACAAGAGAGAAATTAATTCGGCCTTTGTTTGACCTAAAAGGTTTGGTTTAAAAGGTCCAATAGTAATAATTGGGAAATGACAAAATGAGCAAACTTGATGAGATGAACTTTGAAGTCATGCTTACATACTGATCACGATCATGATCATGGTCATCCTGCATTGCATTTTTCTGCTTGGTCAAAAGTAGGGCATTGCTTTTCAGCTCAAAACTTCGGTTCATTCTTACCTTCTTTATCAAGGCTTCATTTTCTCTACTTACCTTTGCTTTGCCTAATCAAGCTTTTAGTGAGTCATGATCAATTAATTTAAACCTTGAATAATCAAACTCTAATTACATATCCCCAAAAGCACTTTTTAGTAAGCTGCTTTAATCATTTTTCCTTCCCTCTCCCCTCAAATCATTCACCAGCCACGGCATGTGGGGCTCTATTTCAAGGCAAAAGCCTGAAGAACTCAGAAAAAAAACTATCCCTAAAGCTCAAGGCTTTCATTGTGTGAAACATCTAGCTTTTTTTTTTTTTTTTTTCACAATTTTTGGGGCCCTCGAGGTAAGCTTTGGTTGATTAGGCTAGCTTTTAACAAACAGATGTAACTCAACTATACAGTAAAGCCCTTCAACAATGAATGTGAAAGCAATACTCAAAAGCTAAAGATCCCCCAATGGCCCCCTTGTGTGAAATCTAGTACTACCAGTATTATAGTGAAAATCATACATGTAAAGTGTCAAAGCTAGCTATAGTTTTACAACCAAAAGGCACTTTTCCCCTCTGTCGAGTGTCAATGCAGGTTAAAAGGAATGAAGTAAGGGGAACTTTGGGGGCATGAATTTCACAAAGATTAAAGAAAAAAAAGGGTAGGTAGCTAGGTAGCATACATATAGTGAAAAAAGAATCATCTTTAAAGAGTCAAATCAGATTAAAAGGGGCTCTTTTGCTATATGTTATAGAAATGATACTTCACAAAGATCAATGAATTCAACTGTCAAACTGTAACTATACATGGTCAAAGGAACATTAAAAAGTTAAATCTTTTTGCCTTAAAAAGGGATAAATCATTGGATTGTTAAAGAAGATTGGCATAAAATCATACCATTAACCATCTCAAAAGAAGGTTAAAAGGAATAACTCTTTTGGAAAAGAGAGTTAATTTCTTTGAAGAAAGGGTCACAATGAATAATAAAAATTGTTCTAGAAGGGTTGACCGTTTCAATTTTGAATGTTAGACCTAGTAATAGTTCATGTTGTTTACTCAAATCTTTAAGAAGGGTCATCATCATCTCTCAATCTAAGTTTTAGGTAAGAGCTAAATATAAATTTATTCTATCAAATATAATTTTAAAGAAAGTGATTCATTATCGAATCAAGTTTTAAATAATTTTTAGAAGCAATCAAGTGAACATGTGTGTTATTTTATTAATAATTTTTTATAAAAGTAAAACGACAACACAAAATTGACATTCGGAGTGCAACAATTCACAAAGATTAAAGAGGAGTGGGAGATGTTTATTTTCTCCATTCCAAAATATTTGCCATATATTAATTTTTACAAAATTAAAAAAAAATAATTTTAATATATTTAAAATTAAAGTTTTATGATTTTTAATATCAAAAATAAAAAGAACATAAAAAATTATTTTAAAATATAAAAAATAAAATATAATTTTAAAATATCTTAAATAAATAAATGAGACAGAAAAAATATTAAAAAAAGTTATACAAATGTGAAAGAAAAAAAAAAAAGTGGTAACTTGCTTGTGTAGGTGAGCCAAATTTTGGGGGCATAAAAATTTTGCCAAAGAGAAAGAGGGAAGGTAAGAGGAAAGAGGGGGAGGGGAAAAGGAAGATGGGGCCAATAGTGGGAGTTAGTTGAAGTGGCGGGTAAAGGGGAAGAATTTAAGAAGAGAAGATGGGACCCATTTTTTCGTTTCTTTCCCTATTATTAAATGGAGGTGCGCATGAAAGCCATCAAGGAAGTGGATGTGCACACGTGCACAACTTTGACAAAACACTTCATTACAACAATCTACACCCCCCCCCTTTTTTTTATTTCCTTCGTTTCAAAAAAGAATTACAAATTAAAATAATATCTCAAAAACTTATATTAATTAGTTTCGTTGGCAATGAGAAATTTTTTTTATCAATTAAGATTCGATTTTATGAAATATTATAAGTTTAATTTAATTGATATACAAAATTATTATTAGAAGATGATATTTAATAGATCATAAGGTTAAATTTTAATATTTATAATTTTTTTAATTTTTTATAAAAAAAGGGTTTGTATCATACAAATAATATATTTTTAAAATTATCCTAAAAAAATTAATTAAGACAAAACTTAAAATTTTTAGATATTATAAAAAATCCAAAAAAAAAAAGATAGAAGTATCTTAATTTTTTTGGTTAGTAATAAAAAGTACCTTACCTAATTAACTATTTATTTTTATATAAATTTTTTTATAATTAAAGGAATTTAAATCTTATTATAAAATCTAAGAATCCAACACTCTATTAACATATCACACATTTATATATATAATTTTGATATAATATTTGTCCCTTTCATTTAACTAAATTACTCTTTTCATCCTAAAAAAATAATATTATTTTAAAGTTTATAATATATAGTAACATATTTGACATGGATTTTCTTATAAGAGTGTAAGTTTAATTAAATTTAAGAAACACAAAATTTATTGATCTAAAATTAGAGAAATGATTTTCTCCTAGTTCTTAAAAGCATTTTTCACTTTTTTTTCTCTAACCCAATTGAAAATTCATTTGATTGTATTGCAAATGAAAAGGGCAAAAAGGTAAAATAGTGCAACTAATTTAGGTCCTGTTTGAATGGCCAGTTGCTGCCAATTAGATGAGATTATACCTTCCAACTAGACTGATCATTCATTTAGATTATAAAATACATTGTGTTTTCATTGTACTAATTTTTTTTTTTAACTAGAGTTCAAGGTTCTAGTGAATACACTAATCGTCCATCATACTTTTTTTTTTTTCCAATTAAACAGTTACTTTCTTTTTGTTTTACCTTTAAATCCTTTTTTTATTTAAAATTTTAAAATAATTTTATTAATTTAATATAATAAATAAAATATGATAATTATATAACAAAAATAATTAATAAATAATAATAAATAAAAATAAAAACTAAATTTTATAATCAAATAAATATTTAACAAACTAAAAAATAAATATTTTATAATTAATATGAGTTAACAAAAATATATAATTAAATAAATAATAAAATCAATAAAATTTAATATAATATTTTTAATAATTATTTTCTTTTCATTTCTACGTTCAAAATTATATTTTACTATTAATTTTATTTTATTATTACATTACTTAATTTCATCATTATAAAAAATAATCTCGTCACCATCATTAATTTTAATTTCACCGCCTAGGATGAAGTCATTGCCGTGTTTGACCTCTAAAGCATTTGCTTATGCACATATTTCTCGCAACTATTAGTAAATATTCAAACCCTCCCCCAAAAAAAATGAATTTCTCATTGACATAATAGTAAGTATAAAAAGGGAATTTAGATTTAAGAGTTTTTAAAGATTTGATTTTTTTTTTTTCATTTCTGATTTCACTACGGAAGCTTCTTCTATAAATTACAGCTTCCTTCTTTTGTCTTTCTCTTTCTCTCGAATTGTTTTTTTGGTATAGGGGAAATTTGACATTTTCCGAGGAAAGAAAGTTTTGTGCTGTTTGTTGCGCGAGAAAAAGAAAAAAAAAAAAGTAGAGATGAGAGGCGCAAATGGAGAATCCAGAGCTATGAATAACACTTTGGAGACCATACATGCTGCTGCTAACGCGATCGCTTCAGCTGAGAATCGTGTTCCACAAGCTACGGTTCAGGTAAATTTTTATTTTCTTTATATATTTTAAAATTGCTGTTTCATTTATTTTTTTGTTTGTTTGTTGTGATTGTTTCAATTGAATTTAATTCAATTTGGTTGAGTTTCGGAAGTGTTTTTAAGCTTCTCTGAAATTCATTTTGTGATCTGTTTTTGCATGATTTTTGTTGTTGTTTTTTTTTTGTTTTGGTTCTTTGATTATGTTATGGCGATTTAGTAAGCTTTTGTTTTTAACCAAGATTAGGCTTTTTTTGTTTTTTGGCGTAAGAATATTGTACAAGTCATTTTGTTGTGATTTTACATTTTAGGGTTAGATTTATTAAAGGTTGACTTATTCCAGAATCATGAATCTTTTAACTGTTTCTTGTTGTTAGATTTAGAAGATCAAGCTTTTGCTTTTATAAGTTGTTTTTTTTGGTACTTCAAGTTCAATACATTCAGGTTTTTACCTGTTGAACTTGGCAATTCAGGAATCTGATGATAGTCTGTGTTGATGAAACAGTGTTTATCAATAATTTTTGGTTCCTTCTTTACCCAGAAAACATCATGGACTTAGGTGATCTTCCTTACCTCTTTTTTCTATTTTTACTCTCATTCGGTAAAAGTTCCTAGATCAGAAGTAAAGAAACAAAGGAAGAGTAAAGCAGAGCTGATATCGTACAATTTGGAATTTAGATAACAGTTGTTAATTGGACAAGTTTGTCTTTGAATTTGTTTGTATCATGCTCTTTTTGTGGCCATGATGTGAGAATAGTTAATTAGAAGGTTTCAGATTCAGTGTGATTTTGGAAAACTAGAAACTTCTATACATCCTATTTAGCTGACTAAGATCAGGTTAATCCCATTTCAACATCCAAATTCGAGATGGATAATCAGTGGTTCTGAATAATGGAAAGTTGGAAACTGATTTGTTCTGTCTGTAGATGTGATTTCCCTTGTACTGGAGGTCTAGTTGAAGACTAGTCATTTATAACACCTGAGGAAAAACTTCAGAAATATTTAAACAATGGGTATGAAGTGCTTCTGCTCCTTGACCTTAACTTAGATGGTAAAGGGGTGAGATTAAATTGGGTTATCTTCTAGGTTAAAAGCTTTCCAACGAGAAAGAGAACAGCATGCCCGTACTCTTTCTGCCAAAGAGTTGGAAGCACACTTGTAGCATGATATCCAATAAGTTTTGAGCATGTGTATTCTAATATGTTTCATTACTCAATACACTTTGGTAAAGATTCAATGAGGTGTCGTATTATTGGTTTGATATATCTTTATGTCTTTTTAGGACAAAAGTTTTCATGTAATTAATTTTGTTGTCAATTATTTGATATCTTATTAGCCACATGAGAATTTGGTGTAATTTCCCGTATTAATCCATTTTATCTTAAATTTGGTGGCATCCAGAAGAGAAGATGGGGTAGCTGCTGGAGCATATATTGGTGTTTTGGATCTTACAACCAAAAAAAGCGAATTGGGCCTGCTGTTCTTGTTTCTGAAACGAGTGCTTCTGGTGTTAATGTGCCTACTGCTGAAAATCCAACCCAAGCACCCACCATAGCGCTTCCTTTTGTTGCACCACCCTCCTCTCCTGCATCTTTCCTTCCATCTGAACCCACCTCCGCTACACAGTCTCCAGCTGGTTTAGTGTCTTTCACCTCTATTTCTGCTAATATGTACTCTCCAGGGCCTGCTTCTATTTTTGCAATTGGCCCTTATGCACATGAAACTCAGTTAGTTTCACCACCTGTTTTCTCAACCTTCTCCACTGAACCGTCAACTGCTCCTTTTACTCCTCCTCCCGAGTCAGTGCACTTGACTACACCTTCCTCACCAGAGGTGCCATTTGCTCAGTTCCTTGGCCCCAACCTCCAGTATGGAGTGGTTGAACAGAGATTCCCAATATCCCACTATGAATTTCAGTCTTATCAACTTCATCCTGGGAGCCCTGTTGGTCAACTGATCTCACCAAGCTCAGGAATCTCCGGTTCTGGCCCCTCATCTCCTTTCCCTGATGGTGATTTTGCTGCTGGTCTATGCTTTCCCGAGTTCCGAATGGGTGACCCTCCCAAGCTCTTGAACCTTGATAAACTTTCCAACCGTGAATGGGGATCACATAATGGTTCCGGCACTTTAACTCCTGATGCTACAACATCTACACCTCGCAATGGTTTTCTTCTGGATCATCAGATCTCTGACATTGTGTCACATCCATATTTGGATAGTGAAAACCAAACTGATCAGGTTGCAGTTAATCATAGAGTTTCATTTGAGTTGACTACTGAAAAAGATTTAAGATGCGTGGAAACTGAGACAGCAAAGCTGTCTGAGGCTGTGTCAGAATCTCTACAGAATGAAGCAACAAAAGAGAGAGAAGAAACCGCCACTAAGGTGGTGGATGATTATGAATGTCGTCTTGGTGAAACATCCAACGAAAGACCAGAGAAAGCTCCAGAAGATAAGGAAGGCAAACCACAGCACCATAAGAATCGATCCATCACTCTCGGGTCAGCTAAAGAATTCAATTTTGACAATGTTGATGGAGGTGATGCCCATAAGCCTATTGTTAGTTCTGATTGGTGGGCAAATGAGAAGGTAGCTGGAAAGGATGATGGTGTCCCCAGGAATTGGTCCTTTTTCCCCATGATGCAGCCAGGTGTAAGCTAACTTGGTATGCATTTTAGTTGATGCCTTTTGATTTCCCTATCATTCTAGGAATTTAGGTGTGGCTTTGGGGATTCAATTAATTTGGTAACAGCAACAGAGCGCAATTATTCAATCAAATTATAGATAATTTTAGGGTTTTGACTCAGATGGCATATTGCATGATTGGCAATGCATTAAGGCTGTTTTTGACTCCTTCGTGATTAGAAAATAGGGTCTTATAGGAATGTTTCTTTTGTTACAATATGTATTATATTTCTAATTTTGTCAGATAGATGTCAAAACAGTCTTTTTGATTTTGTGCCCTTAATCCTCATTATGTAAAATATTAATGATAGAATAGAATAATAGCAGTGAAGTTAAAGATTGAAAAATAAATAAATAAATAAATAAATATATATATATGATGATCATGTCTACTTATGCCGTCTGCAAATTGACCAAGATTCTACTCGTGACAATGGTACTTAAAGATGTTTTGCTGTGGTAATGGGATAGTTGGTGTTAGTTTTACATTATTGTAGGGTAATATTCAGGCAATTGATGCCATGCTACCATGGAAGCCATTCATTTGTTTCTCCATGTAACTATTGCTTTGGTTCACTCCGAGGGACTATTTGGGCAGACTTATAATTGATAAATACAAAAACGATTGTTATTTCTAACCTCTTTCTTGTTTCTTGCTTAAGTTTAGGGATGTTGAAAATTTTTAAAAAATTTTTGAAACCAACGGAAAGTTGCAGCTGGAAATGAAATGAATGATCCAGAAAGCAAAGGGTGAGTGGAAAGTTTTGCGAAAGCCGGTTTGGGCTGATGGGCTGTTTGGAGTCCACACTAACCCACAAGCCGAAGGGCCATTCATGGATCGAATTTAAACTCACTGCTAGAAGCCGAGAACGTTAAACATCGCTGTTAATTTTGGTTTTCAGAAACTATAATTTCATTAATAAATCACTAGCATGTTCAATGTTACTAAAAGAATTGGATGAATGAGAGGTGTTAACGCTTTATGTTGTCCTGGTTCGTGGGCAAGACGCTTGAAGCCCAGAACCAATCCGAAACATTATTTTGTTAATAAAATATTATTCTTTATTAAGTTTTTAATTTAAAATGTTATATAAAAATTAACATAAAGATTCTTTTTAATATTTAAATAATATTTTTAATATAAAGAAAGCTTAAATGGAGGAGACAGGCCTGCCCCGGTCTTGGACACCCAACTCACAAGCACGACATTTATTTTAAGATTATTAAATGTGCATGTCGAGGTTAACCAAATAAACATAGATAATAAAAAATGTTGCAATGGTTACTTAAAAGCTTCAGTGGTTATACAAAATTGTAATAAAATTACTAAAAGAGTTTCAAAGATTATAAAAAAAATATTGCCATGCGTAACAAAAAAATTTATAAAGCTATCATACGTTTCACTAACCTTGTACTAAAGAATACCTAGGGAATTTTTTAGCCAAAAAAAAAAGGTTTTTTCATTGGCTCCGTAACCCACTTGGTCAATGGCCCTAGCTTAACTTGGGCAGGTTCTTGGACAAGACTGAGCTTAACTCGGAAACAACCAACAGCTCCACTAACAACCGTCCATGCTTACATACTTACATATATATATATATATATATATATATGTATATATAATGGGCATAGTTCATGAAAACGAGAAATTAATATTTTTTTAAAATTTAATTCGTATATTTATATTATATTTTATATAAAAATTAAGTATTATAACTATATTAATATAAAAATATGAAATATAAATTTTTTATTTTATTAAATCTGTAAATAATATTATTATAATTTTAAGTCATTATTTTTATATATTATTTTTGCATCATATTTTATTATGTTATCGTATTATATTTTGATTATCAAATATATTTTTTTGCTTTTTTAAAGATTATTTAATCATTTGATCGGACACCATCCATGTTTATATGATGTGTGAAACTATTTTTCTACAAAAAAAAAAAATAATTCAAGTTTTCTTATTAAATGAAGAGGACATTACCTCACACTCTCTTAACATTAATTCCAATGTAATACCAATTAATCTAAAATTCAGTGGGCTTCAACTAGTGAGTTAAGCAACATGCTTTTTTTTGGCCCAAAGTTAAGCACCATGTTTCATTGCCGCCAACTCAAAACCTGCAGCATGAACTCTTGTGAAGAATCCAAATCAGGGTCATCAATCCTAAAGTTCCAACTTTGTTCACCCAACGACAGCCATAACAAGAATCAATTTTTTCTTTAAAAAAACACAATTACGAACTTAGCCTAGCGGTATAAAACTTTTGTCTAGTACAAAAAAAATACACCCTTTAAGATCCTCTATTAAAATGGTGACAAAAAAAAAATTCTCTTGTAAAAAAGAAAAAAAAAAACAAAACAGCATTCTCTTGAATTTTCTTTCTACACAAATTCTTTAGTCGATGTTGGGCGGGCGGCTTGTTTAGCCATTGGTTCATTAATCATCATAAAAATAAAAGTTGAATTAGTGTTAATATATCCTTTTTTTTTTTTTTTAATATCCATTCGAATCTGAGATTTCTGTCACTGTTGACCGCTAAACCTAACGACCCTTTGACTTCTATAACACCACAAATAAAGCCCTTTCCTTTCTAGTCTTACTGCTCTGATTTCGCTTTCCTCACCGCAAAACTAGGGTTCCTCTCTAAAAACTAGCCAAAAGCTGAACATTTGCCTTTTTTTTTTTTTTGCTTTTCTCTTCAGGTTCAATTTTGGAAATTTCACTGAAATTTTGCCACCATTTGAAATGCAGTGTTTGGAAGCAGTACCGGAGTTAAACAGCAATGTTGTGACGATCAATGTCGGCGGCCAAATTTTCCAAACAACAAAACAAACCCTAACCCAAGCGGGCCCCAAATCCCTCCTTTCTCAACTCGCAGAAACCACTTCCAACCGTTTCGTCGACCGAGACCCCGATTACTTCTCTGTCCTCCTCTCCCTCCTCCGCACCGGTACCCTTCCTTCCAAAGTCAAAGACTTTGACCTCCGCGACCTCATCGAAGAATCCAGATTCTACGGCCTTGAGCCTCTCTTGACGAGCTCTTTGACCAACCCTTCTCACTTTGATGCCTTTGCTCTCCAAAAATCGTCAATATTGCCCTTGAACGGCCGTGACTTCCCTTCCGTGATTGCCACGACGCCGTTTGGGTCCTTGCATGTTTCCCACGGGAGCAAGATCACGTCTTTCGATTGGTCGTTGACAAAAAAGTCAACGATTTTGACCCAATTCACAGCCATCGATTCCTTACTTGCCATATCCCCAGATATCGTGGCCGCCGGTGCAACCGACTTTTCGGGCCTGCAGATTCTTGATCTCCAAAACGGGTCCATCAAACAAGTTCTCAATTGGGAGAATGTGACCCGGTCCGGTTCAACAGTTCAAGCCATTGGTTCATCAGGCGAGTTCTTGTTTACTAGCTTCGAATCCAGTAGGAGAAACTCGAATTCAATAATGGTTTATGATTTGAATACCTTGAACCCTGTTAATGAGCTTGGTCATAATGAGATTTTCGGGGCTGATCTTGATTCAGCCATACCAGCTACAAAGCTGAGATGGGTTTCGGGTTATGGGTTAGTTATGGCATCCGGGTCACACAGCGGGTTATCGGGTGTGGCAGGTAATATTAGGTTTTGGGATATAAGGTCTGGTAACATGGTTTTTGAATTGAAGGAAAAAGTTGATTGCTTTTCTGATGTTTGTTTTTCGGATAATTTGAATGCCATTTTTAAGATTGGAGTGAATTCTGGGGAGGTTTTTTATGCTGATTTTAGGAGTTTAGGGAGTGTGAATGATAATAGTGATCCATGGATTTCTCTTGGGGATAGGAGGAAGGTTGTTAACGGGAAGAAAGAAGGGTATGGGTGCAAAATAGAGAGTCATGGGAATCAAGTGTTTTGTAGTAAAGGAGGGGATATAGAGTTGTGGTCGGAGGTTGTTATGGGTCCGGCGAAGAGTAGTGAGGGTCGACTGAAGGAAAGGGATTTTAGGAAGAATTTGATGGGAAGAGTGAAGGATATGGGAGGCTTGAGGATAACCAACTTGGCATTTGGTGGGAACAAGATGTTTGTGACCCGGAAGGATCAGCAAGCTGTTGAGATTTGGCAGGGTTCCTCGACACGGTTTTGATCTTCGGACGGAACCTTTGGTTAGATGTTGCATGGGAGAGAATGTTGATCAAACTACAAGTCAGTAACCTATTTCATAATTCGGTACTGTTGTAAATAGGACTGTATTGTATCTTGTAATTGTTTATAGATTTGGTTCTTGGTGGTTGAATTTATATCAACAATTGATACTGTAATATTGAATCATAAATGAGAAGATTCACGCCTTTGCTGTTTAGTCTATTAAATTTTATGCCCTATTCAAAAAATGTGGTGAATTGACATTATTTTTGTTGTTTGTTCTTACCTTAGGTTCTTGTTTCTTGGTTGTGATTTGCATGATGATTTCTTGCAAAACTATGCTTTGATTGGGGAAGTAACATCCAAAAATTCAGAGGATTGCTAAGAGTAATATAAGACAGAAGTAAAATGATGCAGCATAGGCAGGATAAATCGAGAGCGAATAGAGATGTTAAAGAATAAGAAACAGAGGAAGTGGCGGGGAGATTCAGAGAGACAAATGAACAAGTCTCAGTAATACTCAATTCATCCATCTACCTTTAGGACCTGGACAAGTCATCCAGCTGAATATGGAGCAAGCTTCAAATCATGGGATTTCGAACCTATCAATTGGTAATGACATCCTTTGCTAAAAGAAAAGGCCTTTGAATAAAACAAAGCCTTTAAGATGACATTAATGTTGGGAAATAGGATACAGCTTTCTTGATGCAAAAACTTCTTTTCGATATATTGTTGCAGGTTATTTCTAAGCTGGTGGAAGTAGAGTAGATTGCATTTCGGCTTTGATTACGAATTCAAAATAGATCTGAGGATAGTTTTTGATATTTCTGGAATCAAGCTATGAATATATCGTCATATAGTAGATTAAGCCTGCAATAGCCAGAGACATGTCTATAACTTCCAAAAGTGTAAAGTCTTTTATTCCAAAATAGAGCAGCAACATGGAACCCCTTTCTTAATTTTTACCTAATAGACACATAATATGTGCATTTCTGAGATCGTCAGAGAATATTATGGCAGAAGAAGGATTGTGAAGAAATACCAGGCCTGTCGGTCTGCCAATGGGTTAAACCTAAAAGGTTGCTCTTTGGCTATGACACTAATTAAAGTAAGCTTCACTATGCATGCATACTTGATTAAGAATGGCAGTTTCAGCAGCTACTATATTCCAAAGATCAATTATCTAGGTATGGCTGAGAAGTGAGAATGGTTGCCTCAAACCTGTCAGGCTGTCGCTGTAGGGTTCAATTGCAATCAATTATTTATGAAAACCAAGGTCGTGATGCTGGCTGTTTTAGACTTTGGCTGTACTTGCTCCTTTTAGAGTCATTTAAAACTCGGTGTACTCTCAACACCTATTGTGACGACAGTCAGCCTGACACTAATTTGGGGTCGATTAATTGTGTGAATTAAGAGCTGTGTAATTTGGTTTCCTTTTGACCTTGTAAATCTTTCTAGACAGTCGATGGAAACCGTTAAACTAAAATGCATTTGGAGTAATATCTTGTAAATTTTTGAATCTATTTTCTTCCATGCTTTGACATAGGAAATCCATGAGATCGGTAATGATGAATAACCAAACCATGAGCTGGGCACGCTTGAAGATGCAGTCCCGGTTTGATCCTGCAAATCAACGCGGCTGGACCAGGAGCTTGCCTGCCTTGTCTAAAGAGGCACGATGCCATTAAATGCATGCTAGTATGGGGTTTTAGGTGGGTTAAGCTTGAAATATACGTAGTCCGACAGCATAACAACATTATGCTTTGCTTAAGCTTTTCTCATCCTTCTTTTTCAAAACCATATATTCAAAGACATTAGGTGATACTAGTCAGTAGCAGCAGCTTTTTCATTTTGAAAGTAATTAATTTTCTTGCTGGGGATTTAAAAACGTTAGGAGATTAATGATTTTTAGACAGTTTATGTTATTTTCATCAAGAGACAATGTATTCAGCAAAAAAGATCATAAACAATGACACCCAAATCAAAGCCCATAAACTTAGGTTGAATCAATAATGCAGCCTCCATCGATCATCAGCAAAGAAGTTAAAGAGTTGGCTGCATTAGATACTTCAGAGACTGCTCGGCCTATCAAGACCTTTCATCACATTAAAATCATATCTCGATTTCTCCACCACTAATACAAAAGACATTAAAATTCATTAATATAGTCTGAGGAAAACATGTCAAAGTTTTGCAGAGCAGATTAGCAATGCCCTCCATCCCTTCTCAAATAAGAAATTCTTGCATTGTTCTGACCCCCTTTGGCAGTCCATTAATTCTTGCTGTCTGCCTCATATATCTGGTCGTGAAGCTCATCCAAAGTCAAAATCAAAAGTCCCCATGGCCACATTAAAGAAGGTAGTAGGATCCGTTAAGAAAGGGATTTGGGCTTGAACTTCTGTGAACTAATTAAGTCACATATGTCATGTTCGAAACTGTTGTCAGACAGATGATGTTGATCATCCCTCATGCGTGACCTTGAAAATGTCATTCATATTAATTGCTTGGGGTTGAACTTTATGTCAATGGAACAGGAATTAAAGTTACCAAAAATTACTTTGTTCAACAAAAAAAATTGGAAATTATCCCAATTCCTATAACAGTTATGAAGGTTTAGCTATGTCATTGATATGTACCTTCTCTCTAAAAGAAATCGTAATTTAGGTCTAAAACCACAAATCTAATGTAATTTACTTGACATGTGCAAGATATTTTACCAAAATAAAGAACTTGACATGTGCCAGATGCACAAATTGATTAATCTCCCACGTGTCGTTGGACGATTGGATAATAACAGTAATAACCCTTAAATTTTGAAATGCAAAGATATGATGAAAGTAGTAAATATAAACAGTTCTTTGGGTTCATATTTAATATATATATATATATATATAATGCAATTTAGGGATGAAAATAAGAGGAGCAAGCTTTTTATTAATCCAATTTTTAAGTTGAATAATAATATATAGTTAGACTAAACATGATAATTTCAAATGAAATAAGAATTCAAATAATACTTGAATGATAACTGTATGTTTTTTCTACTGAAAAAATTAGATTTGAATTTCTCTTTTAAAAAATAAAAATAAAATGATTATGATCTAAATAGCCATACAGGGAGTATACTTGCTGAACCAATCTTTATTTACGTCTACATCTTCATTCAATGCAGCCATAGTGGAATTTAAGGAGGAGAAGCTCTTTCCTGAAAAGTTAGGTGAGCCCTTTCTTCCTCGAGACACTTCATTTAGAAAACAAATAATCTCAACCAATAATTTTCATTTCTTTCTTTCTTTCTTTGTGATGAGCTAGTGTGGGTTAATTTTATGTACTTTGTTGCAAGGTCGTCTCTCGTGGGATTGTTTTTTTTCCTTGTGAATTTCCAACCACCCCCGTCGACCATTAATGGCTATGCTTATAAGCTGAGTTAATCAGGTCCATGCATACAATTAAAAAAAAATTGAATCTCATGGAGAGAAAAAAAAAAGATGTTAGGGGTATTTGATAATCAAAAGGGTATAGTGATATTTTTCACTCTATAAAGCCTTTAACAGATAATCAAAGATATTTTTATCATTTATGTTAATTTGATATGTCAAGTTAGTCTAATATGTTCAGTGTTACATCAATTTGATATTATCCTTATTGTCTCACAACGATCCCCTACAGCTTTCCTATAAATATAAAGGTTCAGGCACCAGTAATGTTGGTTCATTCCACTCATTTTCTCTCATTCCTAATTTCTTTCTTTTTTACCAGATTCTTTCTGATTTATGTGTCGGAGTGCACACGCATGAAACACACCCTGTTTTTGCTTTTAATCGTACCATTCTTTTTTTTATCTTTCTAAGAACCACCTTAATGTTAAAGTTCGGCACAAACATTTGGCGTGCAAGGTAAGGGATTTTTTCTTTCATTAGCTAAGCATAAAGTGATGCCACCAACGAAAAGAACTTTAGAGGAAGAAGAGATGGTCGTCCCAGCTAGAAAAAAAACCTACCATAGTCTGCATTCCATCCAATTGGCCTAACCACAGGTGAGCCCGACCATGGAACAATTCCAAACCATGATCGAATAAATATAAGCTCTCAAGCAGTTATTACAAACCATAAGCTTACCCCAAGTTTTGAAAGTGTTTGACTTAATCACTCCAGGTCGAGGAGCTACTGTTAGACAACCAAGCTAGGAAGAGGTGAAAGCCTCATTGGCTTCTAAAGAGGAGGAACACATAATCCCAGCCTACCATTACCCTAGCTACAATTCAACACAAGCTATAACCCATAAATCCAAACAAACAAACCCCAAATCCTAACTGAACCTATACATATTACCCAAGTTAGCCCTAAAATCACAGATATTGGTAGACTTTGTAACAGAAGATATTTTGGTACCCCCTGAAGATAACTCAAGGAAAAAGAGGAAACCTTAAATAAAGATGATTGAAAACTTTATGTTGATGGATAGGCCACAAGCCACAATGGAGAAGCCAACCTTATTTTGAAAAGCCCGAATAGGTTAAAGTACCATATGCCTTCAGATTCAAGTTCAGGGCATCCGATAATGAAACAGAATATGAGGCATTGATAACTGGTTTAGAGTTAGTAACTGAGTTGAACATTCAACATTTAATCGCATACTATGATTTCCAATTGGTCGATCAAATAAATGAAGAGTTCAAAGCTTGAAAAGACGGGACATAAAAGTATCTTCATAAAGCATTGGCCTTGGTGGTTGCCTTTAAGAAAGCCAAGGTAAAAAAGATACTGAGGTCATAAAATTCACTAGGAGACTCTCAGTCTAAGTTGGGTTCAGAAATAAAGATAAAAAGTAAACCAAGTTCTGATAAATGAGCTGATATATAAGAGTATTGGGGACAAACCCGTGGGATAGTTCATAGAGAAAGAAACCTGGATAACACAAATCAAGGCATACTTGATCACGGGGGCACTATCTAAAAAAAAAAATTTAAGCTAAAGCATTGATGAAAAAGGCTCCTTGGTACATAATAATTGAAAAAAAATTATACAGAAGATCTTTTAGCCTACCATACTTAAGATATATTGATGAGGAAGAGACAGACTACGTTTAACAAGAAATTCATAAAAGAATATGTGAAAATCACCTCAGACTTCGGTCATTGGCCTACAAAGTGCTTAGACAAGGCTATTATTAGCCCGGCATCAAAAGGGATGCAACTAAACTGGTAAAGAGGTGTGACAAGTGTCAAAGATTAGCACACCTACAACATCTTCTCTCGACCGAGCTTACTCCTATCATTAGTCCATGGCCCTTTGTACAATAGGGAATAGATGTCTTTGGATCATTCACCTTGATCATAGGTTAAATGAGTTTTTTTTTAATAGCAGTAAATTACTTCATAAAATGGCTTGAAGTTAAGGCTCTGGCTACTATCATAGAGGTTCAAGTCGAGAAATTAGTGTTAAAAAATATAGCATGTAGATTCAACTTACCTCAATTTATAATAACGAACATTGGCAAACAATTCGAAAACTCATGGTTCAAAGAATGATGTTTAAACCTTCACATCGACCTTAAGTTCACGTTGGTTACCCATCTTCAGTCCAACGGACAAGCTGAAGCTATGAGCAAGACAATGTTAGAAGCTCTAAAAAAGAAACTCGTCGCAACAAAGGGAAAGTAGGCCAACGAACTACCAAGAATGCTATGGGCCTTAAGGACTACCATGAAGGTACCACTAGTGAAACCTCATTCCATTTGTCATTTGAAACAAAAGTTGTGATACCTGTTGAGATCGACCTTCTAAGCTTAAGAGTAAAATTAGAGTTAGAAAAAAAATGAAAAAGTGATTGGGGATGACCTCGACCTTGTGAAGAAAAAAGAACATAACCTTAACACAGATAACAACTTATCAACAAAAAGTGGTCACTTATTATAATAAAAGGGTTAGATGTAGGCATATTAAGAATAGCGACCTAGTACTTAAAAAAGTATAAACCTAAAGAGGAGATGATCGAGGTGACAAATTAGCCACGACGTGAAAATGACCATATATTGTTAAAGGGATCGTTATGATACGACTTATAAACTATAGAACCTGAATGACTACACCATCCCAAGGATATGAAATGTAAATAGTTTAAAGGTTTATTATCAGTAGCTTGGTTTAAACTGAGTTCATACTTGTATTTTGTAATTGAATACAAAAATCAAATTATCTTCAATGAGCTTACAACTGCTAATTTAACAAAACTCGACCTGAAACTTTGATGAATTTTTAAGTTAATTTAATTTAAGGGATTATATAAATCCTTAGTTCAATTAATCGAGCTTAAATTTTTTTAATTAATCATGTTTACACTTATGTGAATAAACAAAAAAATTATGATAATAAAGCTAAATTGAGCTGAAGTTTAGACTAATTTGAATAAAAAGTTGTATCGATTAATTGTTACAAAAATTACTAGCAAATGATGTCAGCAAATCGTCTTTAGCTAAGGTCATTACAAAAAACCAACCCTGTACATTAACAAAAATTTACAAAAAGTAAAAAATAATAAGTTAAAAGAATTATTCATCAACAACATCGATAATAACAGTAGTAGAGTTAGCATCCTCATCAGCAGGAGTGGCAATGATAACCTTACCTTTCTCGATTTTCTTAACCTTATGCTCAGAGCTACCTCTAATTTGGCCTTTAAAGCCTTATCCTCATCCTCTTTTTTTTTATTTTCATCCTTTTCGAGTTAATTTAGACAAGACTTTGATATGATATTATTGATATCAATATCAAAGAGGTTGAAGTTGAGGGTGAAAAATTTAAATCGCACCTCATCTTTGGCTAATTAAAAGGCATTGAGCATATTTTTTTCTAAAAAAATCCACTTTCATCTGAATGTACTCATTGGAGGCCTTG